CACTGCCTCGCTCTCGCGCCTTGTCTTTGGTTGCTAAGCAGCCCTTCTAGTATATAAGGACCCCCTTAGGCACTCCCTAGTCCCCATCTCGACCTCTTGGTCATTGGGACTAGGTGAGTGACCATAGCGTTGTATCTCCCTCCGATTGCTAATGTATAACTTGGTCATTGGGACTAGTCTGTCGCTGGTTGCGTGAAGACTAGCTTTCGTCGGTCTTGTGCCTTCGTGCCGACCGCCGCTCTGCCCCGTCGAGTTTTCTGATACGTTTATCCCTCTTACCCTCTCTTCTCCCCTTTCGGCTCCTCGCCGCTCGCCTACGGGGTCGTCGCCGAACGTCGACCCGAGTCCACGCGCCTAGTCGCCGCGACAGTGTGTTCTGTCCACGTTGAGGATGCGCGTCGGAACTTGTTCATAGGTAGGTCTTCTCAACCTGAGGATCCATCTACCGCCCAAGATGGCACACAGCGCCGCATGCCTCGAGCGGGAAAAATATCGAGGCCCAGTAGCAATTGATCTATGATCAGGAGGTCATTGGGAGATGTGTCTATATTGGTGCGGGTACTTGACGTACAATGCGAGTATGGCCAGGAACGCCTGTTACAATCGTAACAGTGGTGGCGGTTTCAGAAAGAGTTACCAGCTGGCGCTTGTCATGTGCGATCACGGTGGTGTCTATCAGAGCAGTATGATACCAAATCACATTTCCCAAGCGATGAACAGTGTAAAATCGCCGCTTTCCCCAAGCCTTATGCCACAGGCATCGTGAGATATATGTTTGACATTCCTCGCGCATTTGAGCTGCTCAGGGTGATCAAGTATCGAATCAAACAGTCCACATGTACATTCCCGCCAATTCAGTCCGCCTCATAAAAAAAACTACCCACGAGGTATGCCATGGTGAAGGGCATGCGTTCATCACATTCAACGAGCGATGTCTGCTCCAGTATCGGAGGTCCCTGGCGTTCGAGGCAGTACCAGCAAGGCATACGAGAGGTACACACTGTCTTCCCTCCACGCCTGCGCCTCGTTGCCAGTATAATTGCATGTTTCTTCCTCTTCTTCCTTGTAAGTGTACAGCGACTGCTTGAGGTCGAGCGAGAAGAAAGGGACGTGTTTGACGCCGTCCAGCCATGGAGCACCGCACTCCGCTTGATTCTTCGGTCTGTGGCCGGTCTCGACATAGTCCAAGAGAGCGTCGACGTGACCTTTCGTGAATGGATACACAGCGGTTGTGCAACTCATCTCCCAGTCGTTGTCACGGTCGTTCTTGTCGTGCGATCCCCACTCAAAGTACGACCCAAGGACAACAGGGAGATGCCTGACATCCACATTGGCCAGGGCACGGAGGGAGCTGAGGAGGAGAGCATCGAACCCGCTGAAGCTCGTAGTACCCAGACAGTACTTGCGCTGGAGTAGAATGCCGAACGGCGCTTCCAGTGCCTCGACTAACTGGGACACCTGCTGCCTGACTTGCGAAGAGGTGGATGTGTCCTCGTCCGTGTCAGAGGCGCGGAAGAGCTTGAACGCGAGGGTTGCTCTATAGCCGTGGACGTCCTTGACGGAGTGGGGCACATCGGGGTAAAAAGCGCACCAATGTCCTTCGTCTGCCCCGTATCGAGTCCCGTCGACATTGAGACCACCATCGTAGCTTGTGTCACCGAGGCCCATAAGGAACGTGCCGACAAGGTCCTTCTGCGGGGTGTCGCGATGGACGCTGAAATGGTCCCCGGGGCCGTAGAGGTGGATCTTGTAGGGCTCAACGCGTACACCGGAGTTGGGGACGAAGTGCTCGTCCCACAGGGCCGCGATGCGCTCCAAAAGCTCAGGTTCGACCTCGAAATCGGATGCAGGGATTTCCCTAGCCCGACGAACGGTATGGTCAACCTTCGTGACCTGTTCTCGGACGTCCCCATAACCGGACGCATCGGCGTTAAGATGCCATTGCTTGAGACGATTCTCCAGGGCGGTTTTGTTTCCGGGAAAGAGATAAGGCCTTTGATACTGATACTTCGGAGCAGGTGCAGGTGTCACTTTCTCGTCAAATTTGCAGCCGCTCCTGGTGATCCGAAGACGGAAGGGACTGTCGAGATACCCAGAAGCCGCATTGTGTGCATGCTTCACGGCGATCTCGCTCAGCTTGGCAATAGTTGGCTAGATACCGGTGATGACGTCGTCACCTTGAAGGAGACTGTGGGCGAAGCATTGCATGACCACGTACCCTGTTCCATGATTCTCTCGCCAGAACCTCTTCAGACATATCGGCGTTGTCGCACCTGTCTATGTCTTCCTCAGATAGGTCGTCCGGCCCAGAAGACATCATATGCGATGCCATTTGTTCGATCTTCGAGGGACAGTATCCGATCTTAGGTAAGGCTGTTACTTCTTTCATAGCCCTGACCAGTTTCAGCGCGGCTGGGACCTCTTGCATAACCTCGACAGTGTCTGTGGCCTGGGCGCGGTTATGGCCGCAAGGATCGTATGTGGTTAGCTGTAAGCTTTGGGGGTAACTGAACGCTAAGTGTACCTTGGTAACCGACGAGGTATTGTCGTCCTCCCGATCAACTTTGCGCTGACGCTTGGCCGCTGGAGACACCTTGGATGGTGGTGTAGAGGGGGACCGGGCACGTCTTCGGGATGATCGCGTTGAACGAGGCATGTCGAAGTGTAACCACAAGTGGAGAGGCAACAGATGGACGGATGGAATTGAGGGATCAGGTGGCGGCTGTACGGCTTATATATACTTGTTGAGAGTCAATCACCCCTTTATTGTTCGACGGCACCGCGGATGTTAAGCACTGATGGACCTATTGTGCCCCAAATACAGGTTCAAACCCAGCGCTTTGGTTGACTAGACATCGACCGAGTGTCGCTCCACGATGGGGAATTGGGCATGTCTGATCGGCGAAAAGTCGATGAAGAGCGCAAGATAAACTCTTTGCGGAAACGTCGCCTCGCCGGACAAAAGTCTTCATCATGGCAGGCGGTCGCCTTCTGCGTCCCCTTTGCATCGAATTCTCCCCGGTCGGAAACATCCGGATCCCTGCCGTGCTCGGAGTCCATGGGATTTGACCTGAATGGTGGGCAAGTTACAGATCAGGATCGTGGTTGCACCGTTTGATCAGCATATGGGTTCCGGACAACCTGGGGCACGCTCGAACGCCCGCAAACCCACACAATTGTGCAGAGAAATTGTTGAACGCCAAGCCGAGCTGGTGGAGCACCGACGTCGGGGTCCGAGTAGGATCGACACCGGGGCCGAGAAAGCGGCTGACCGCGATGTCAGCCCTGCTCAGATCCAGGTTTCAAACATGGCCCGGTTGACTGCATGCATACATACCACTATCTTTCCTCTACATCAACGTCTGGCCCGCTAAACTGACCATGAACATGACTGACACCGGATCCCCACGGAATCTCCACGACCCCATGAAGCGCGACGGCGACCCCAAGATGATCGGTCTCTGGAAGGTGGGGCGAACCATTGGAAAGGGCAGTTCAGGTACGTCCTCTACAGTCCACGGAGACGTACCTGGCTATACAAGACGAGCAGGTCGAGTGCGCCTCGCGCGACACAGCAAGACGGGTCAGTACGCCGCAGTGAAGATCGTCTCCAAGACCGCGCTCCTCAACTCCCGCATGTCCCTCCACGACCTGGGCGAGGAGGCGGACCGCATCCTACATAGCATCGAACGCGAGATCGTGATAATGAAGCTCATAGAGCACCCCAACATCATGCGTCTCTACGACGTCTGGGAGACCTCGACCGAGCTCTACCTCATCCTTGAGTATGTCGAGGGCGGCGAGCTCTTCGAGTACCTTTGCGACAAGGGCCGCCTCTCGGCGCCCGAGGCCATCGGATACTTCCAACAGATCATCATGGCCATCGACTACTGCCACCGCTTCAATATCGCGCACCGCGACCTAAAGCCGGAGAATCTCCTCCTCGATCGCCACAAGAATATCAAGGTCGCCGACTTCGGCATGGCTGTCTGGCAGGGCGCAGGCAACATGCTCAATACCGCTTGTGGCAGCCCACACTACGCTGCACCCGAGGTCATTAAGGGGGAGGCGTACGATGGGACCGCGGCGGACATTTGGTCATGTGGCGTCATCCTCTATGCTCTTCTCGTTGGGCGCCTCCCGTTCGACGACGAAGACCTCCCCGTGCTCCTGGAGAAGGTCAAGGCCGGCAGATTCACCATCCCGAACGACGTCGACGCTCGCGCGCATAACCTCATCCGGCGGATGCTCGAGAAGGACGTCAACAGGCGCATCACGATTCCCGAGATCCTCCGCCACCCGTTCTATAAGAGCCAAAAGCCGAAGCCGATGAATTGTGATGTCCCAAAGCTCGATGAGATCGCACGCCCTCTGACCAGCAAGGACGAGATCGACCGTGACATCTTCGCGAACCTGCGCACACTGTGGCCGGGTGCAAAGGACGAGCAGATACAAGCGCGCCTGATGGACGGAAAGCCGTCTTGGGAGAAAGGGGTGTACCAGCTGCTAGTCCAGTACCGCGCGAAGCACTCGGAGGACTATGACGAAGATCAGGAGAGGGCGCTTGTGGAAAAGCGGGAGAAGAGACGCAAAGCCAAGCAGGATGCGGAGGCCCGGGAGCGGGATCAGCTGTTCGCAGAGCTTCCTCCAAGAGCGGGACCACCGACGCCGACGCGCGCTCGGACGGGAATCGCTCGCAGGTCCCCTTCCCCGTCGCCAACGAGGGCACCTAGTAGGATGCATAAGGTCTCCTTCCTTTCCTTGATGGATGGTAGTCTGCCGCCCTTGACGTCTACGCCCGCCGCGACCGGCGCGCCCTCACCTGATCCGCCTTCTCTACAATCTCCTCGTCCCCAGTCCCAGCTTCCTCCGATAGAAGTTCCGCAGGTAGAAGACCAGCGAGTCCAAGAGTTCCTGAACCAGATCGCGCAGCAGCTCGTCACAATCCAGGCCAGCAACATGCCGATACGCGACCAGGGAAACTATGACCATGTCTTCTCTCCGCTCATGGCTAGTCTCGCGCCCCTCACCCCGATGAGGCAGTTCGGGGACCAAATCAAGGCGTCGACCAACGGCCAGGATCCGTTCCTCCTGGGAGAGGAGCCCAAGCAGACGAGGCCGCTGAGCATTCGCCGACGCAATGAGCCAGACGCAGACAAGGAGAACGCTTCTATCAAGCCACGCCCCACATTGAAGGTGGACACCGGGGCATCAGAGAACCGCCCCAGTCTTCTCGAGCCGCCTGATGATAGAGGGCGCTTGAAGAAGCGTCGCAGCCCGATGCTCTCGCCGGCGTCGCCGGCTTCCGCGTTCTCTGAGGGGTCCTTCGTCCTACCGTCGACGCCCAAGAGGAAGTGGCTCGGGGCACTGTTCCGCTTCAAGCCGGCGAGCTACCAGCTGCTCTCGACGAAGGACGCGGAGCACACGCACGCGACGTGCAGGAAGCTCCTCGAGGACATGGGCGTGGTCGTGTCGGGGGCGCACTACGTCTCTGGCTCGGATGCGCTCACGCTGGAGTGCACGCTTGCCGATTCGCGCGAGCGTGACGAGGACGGCGTGCTGGCGGCGGTGAAAAGCGTGCGTTTCCGCGTGGAGATCGGACGACCGAGCCCTGTGCACGAGCTTGCTGGGTTCACGGTCGTCGTGCAGCTGGCGTTGGAGAAGGGGGCGGCGAGCAGCTTGAAGCTGCTCTATGGGAGGCTGAGGAGGGACTGGAACTTGGACAGTGCACCGGTTGCATGTGAGAGCTTGTCAACGAGGGAGCTGGAGGGCGGAAGGTTTTTAGAGGTCGTATTTTCTCATTGAGCATTGATTGAGGTAGCGTAGGATGGTCGTATGAGAGACTGCTTGCAGAGAACCCTCAGCAGTGCACATCATGGCTATCTCCGTAATATATGGTACATATTTACCTTGCATGGCGGCATGTGGTGAAGGAGAACAGACTGATGAGGAAGCGCCGTTACGACGCCAATGACATATGAATGAATGAGATGATATACTGATACATATGCTGCATATATTTGTAAGCAAGTGGAGGATAAGATGTGACATTGACACTCACTGCACACTCCGACAATGCCCATGAGACGGTCCAATCCTCAAGACGACGTCACATACCATCCATTGTCTGCATAGTCGAAGCAAATCTTGATGGAGGCTCCAGCAACAAAGGTGCCTCGTCGGTATCCATCTGAGCCTCTGCCTTAGTCTTTTCTTGCTCTGCCTCCTGCTTCAACAGCGGGTGGTGACCTGGCCGCGAAACTACGACGGTCTCCGGGGACGCACTTGATATGCGAACGAAGCGTAGTTGTTGAACGTAAGCGGCTTCTTTCTGGTCCCATTTTCGGAACAGCTCGACATTCGTGGGATGTGTCAGATCAACGACCTCTGCAGTCCAAAGTCAGCATCGACAATCCTGTGTGGGCTTTAAGTGGACACTCACCCATGCCGGTTCGGTAAAGTTCAGTCTCCCTCAACTTCTGGTCTTCCAACTTCTGTTCCTTCGCACTCTTTGGTCTACCCTTCCTTCGCGACGCTTTCTCCGCCTCTAACTCCTGATCAAGACGCGCGAGCCAGATTTCCCTGACGATGAAGTGCAGCTCCTCTAGCGACAGCTCGCCCTCGGGTGGAAGAGCATGGTAGAAGAAGCTGTATACGCTAGCTACAGTCAGAGCTATTAGCGAATGAATGAGTGCAACAGGTTGAGGGTCGGATTTCATGCCTTGTGAGCCTAGCTTCTTATTCCGTTCCTTGGATTGCTCGACGAGCCTACTCTTGCGCAGCTGGGTGCGGACAAGCTGTCCAGCTTTACGGGACTGGGGATGGAACACCTTCTCTTTCTTGCCACCACCACTCTTGCTTGCCGCGGCTTTGGAAGGGGCCATGAGATATAAAGTCTAGGCGTGGATGGTGCGTAGAACAGTGTAGATGCTCAAGAGTAGGCAACCGTCTTAGTGTCGAAACTCACTTGGCTCCGAGCGTTTGCGGAAAATTGGGATCTTCGATCGAAGCCACGTGGGATGCCCTTTCAGGCAAACATTTGAGTGGCCAAATCACAACGTTCAGTTGGAAACTGAACTATGCGACTCCTTCAGAGTCCATCTCCTTGTGTCTCAGAACTCTCCTTGTCGGAGCATCGGAGAACCACCTTTTCTTGCCCTTTCGCTGCCAATGTCGCACCCTAGTTCTCCGGTGCTGAAGGCACGGAGACAATCGCATCGACTATATTCTAAGATGTTATCCGGCATCCTGGCTTTCTGTTTTTCCATCTGGCTTATCCGCTCCACCTTTTTCCGCGAAGATCCTATGCAACTGGAAGTCGACAAACCAGCGGACTCTCGGCCACCGCCCGCCAACAGGCACGGCAAAGCCCATCTGCTGCTCCATCCTGGCCAGCCGGCCATCTTGAACAGCTCACGAAATGCAACCATGTCGGATCCCTCTGGCGATGCGTACTCTCCATTTGGACCATCACTGACAGCCGTTCTGCCTGTGACCTCGGCCTCCATCTCGCACCTGGAGTATCATCTACGTAGCCTTCTCGGAACCTCTGATACGCTTTCCGACGTCGTCGTACTCAGCCCCCGATCACTTCACGCTCAAATACGCCAAGCTTTGCGCTTGATTCTTTCTGAAGAGGAAGCTCACGAAGTTGAACTCAGTATATCTCAATGGCCTGAAGGACTTGGTCTGGGGTCTGCTCTCATCCAGGCTGCTCGACGCGTCTCCACCGAGTGGGTACTCCTTGCTGATGAAGAAGGGCTCGAGCATTTTGACAATCGCACGCGCGATATCCTGCTCTTGAACCCTCCCCCTTCAGACCCCCTACCCATGGGCCCTCGAGGAGTAGACTTCCGTTCGGCTTGCTTGGAACCCTCATTCACCCCCAAGACAGCTGCATACCTGGTTCCCCCGCTGGCTCTGCCCGTTTCTTTGCTACCACCCGCCAGAAATATCAAGCCTACTGATGATCCTTGGGTAACACTTGGCGATTCTATCTCTCGTTCTACTTCGCGGTTATCCGGTGGGCTGGCGATAGGCTCCTCTAATGGTTCGCTCGCGTGGTGCGAGAGATACGTTGTAGGGAATGGCACGTCTCTTCGACCGCCGACTGGCGATCATGGGCTGCAAGAACCGATGCATTCTACTCAGGAGAACGGAACTACTCCTCTCACCGCTTCTGGCGTCTTTCTTTTCGCTGCTTATGCTCGCGAGGCGCGCTTCCTCGTTCACCTGGCTTGCGAGCTGGTCCGTCAAGGTCACGAGATCACCTTCCTTGTCCTGCAACATGACGGGTTCGTGGGCCAGGACCTGGAATCCCAACTGAGGGTGTGCCAAGCGGCAGTGTATCTCTTCCACTCGCATTCCTCGGCTGACCTGGGACATCTGCAACACGAGCTGGTAGAACATATACCCCACAACATGGATGTTGTCGTATCTACATTGGAAGACGAATTCTTCTTCCAGCTCTCAGGCCGCTTCTCCCAGAACAATGTTCGTGGCCGTACGTCCGTTGTACGGATCCCTGAGGAAGACTTGCCCTATTGCGACTGGATGTCTGCCGTGGACCTCGAGGGATGGAAGAGTACGTGTCATACAATGCTGCCTTGCCAGCTATTGACTATCCACAGACTGGCACGTTCCTCAGATCGAGCTGTCGGTCATCACGGACCATCGACCATATTCCCTCCAGCGGCTCCTTTCGTCTTTGGCCAATGCTCGATACTTCGGCGATCAAGTTGACCTGCGGATCAATATTGAGCAAACCGCGGATACAGGGACCCTGCAACTGGTCAACGATCACCGATGGGAACACGGAAGCGTTTTCTACCATCATCGAGTTGCTCACGCAGGCTTGATGGCAGCTGTTGTAGAGTCCTGGTATCCCAAGGGTAACGACACTTACGGGCTGCTCCTTGAGGATGATGTCGAGGTGTCACCGCTCTTCTACGCATGGGCTAAGTTGTCGTTGTTACGCTATCGGTAAGCGATGCGCTCCCGTCTCTTCAGCCGACACTCCCTCATAAACAATTCAGCTACGGTCAGGCGGAGAGCCGGTCGCCCAACCTATATGGGATCAGTCTGTATCAGCAGAAGAACATTGAACTGCATCCGGATGGTCGTCATCTTTTCAACGCTCGAAGCACCTTCGAGGCAGCAGGGCTCGTCTACCCCAACACTCCATATCTATCCCAGATCCCCTGCAGTTGGGGTGCGCTTTACTTCCCGGAACACTGGCGCGAGTTCCATGAGTATCTCGTCACCCGCCTCAACGCCTCTGTCTGGCCCCTCGATGAGGTCGTCGTGCCCGGCGTACGCTCCAACCGCTGGACGCGCTCGTGGAAGAAATACTTCATCGAGCTCGTCTATCTCCGTGGATACGTCATGCTTTACCCCAACTATGCCGACTACATGTCACTCTCGACGAACCACCTCGAGGTCGGCTCGCATGTCCGCGACATACCCATCGAGACGTATCTTCGCAAGAAGAAGCTGTTCAACCTCCCGCTTATGCCGCTGCCTCCTGCTACGCTTCCCCGCGACCTCGCCATCATGCCCAGTACGGGTCTGCTCGAGCTTCCCGAAGCACGTCTGCCCGACTGGCATGCCCTCCCTGTCCTCGATCTTCTCGGTACAATATCGAACGAAACCATGATCACCCTACGCGGCGGGGAACGTAGGACCGAGTTGACCGGCTGCGATGTTTTTACAGCACGCAAAAACGACGTCGGGGAACTCCTTTGTATTGACTAGCTATATGGGTAGGAAGTCACATGGTGTACACTTGCAGTGACCTTTGATTCTATCGTAGAGCGCACTATGTAGACTACAGTGGCGAAATGTTTGTTTCATAATCGAGATCGTACTCCCACAGGCCTGAGCTGATCTGCTTGACACGTCCGCACACCCTGGCTCAACCCAGACTACGAGCTTTGAGATATAGAAATAGAGCTGGGATAGCGTTACAGTAATGAGCAGTGTACAATTTTGTCGAACAAATCCAATGCACAAACATCGGCGCAACATTTCTGTCTACACCCAACGTGGATACTAAGACTACAAGTTGATCTGGGAGGCATCTAACCCGAGGGCGTGCAGGAAGATGTTCACATTAGCGAGACGCAAGCGCCGGCTCTCCTCGCCATCTGTGTAGCCCTTCGTCGCACTCGCCACATTCTCGAGCACAATCTCGCGCAGGCCCGTGACGAGCGCCTGTTGCTGTTCCTCATTGGCGTGCAACGCGAGTGTGGACAGGAACTGCCAGACGGGCTGGTCAATGACGTCCGCGTTCGGGATGCTGGTGAAGCTGACGCCGGCAAGGAGGCTGAGGCGGACGGAGGGGAAGAGAAGGTGTAGCTGTGGTCGGAGAAGGTCGAACAGGAGGTTGTACATCATTTGCCTGGCGATATGCCATAACATCAACATCCAGCTGAGCATGAATGAGTCAGTTGTGGACATACCAGCTTTGCATCTCTTCTGCAGTTGGCGGTTCTTCGACATCGGAACCGCTTTGCGCAGCATGCCGAAGGATCTCCACCCGACTTAGGAAGAGAGTAAGCAACGCGATCCCGGGCTGCGCAAACAACTGTGGTCAGCGGGGTTTGTAAAGAGATAAAAAGCACATACTCTTGTCCTGGCAATCGCGACGGCGTTGCTTTCCAGCAAGATACCAAACAACCCAGTGACTAGCCTCATTTGGGCCCGCCCAATGACGGGCAGGATACTTTGAACGACACTGCTCAAGAACGCCTGTGTCTGGGTCTCTAGATCTTTAATCTCTTGTGTCTCCTCCAAGGTGTCCAAGCGCGGTGCCGACTGGACGACGTCGAGCTGAGAGAAGCACGCGACGATCAGTGTGAGCAGGATTTGCATGCGCGTGTTGTCAAAGAGGCGCGCAACACGCGGGAGGATCTTCTTGCCCTTAATGGGAGTGATGAGGGACACGAAGGGATGTGGATTACTAGAAGCGCAAGGGTGAATAAGTGATCATACAATCACGGAAGATGGGGATAGTACCTCGTCTCCAGCGGAACAGAGACCTTGAGTTTCTCAAACAGCTGGTCGATGAGAGATTCGCACTGGATGGTCCTGTGAGACTGGTAAGTCCTTTTCAACTACGAACTGGGCAACAGAGGCATACCACTCCTCAAAGGCCTCTACCTCCTCCGGCGGGGGCTGATCACGTCGGCGCTGTTCAATGTCAAGAACAAGGTCGTAAAGCTGTTCGAGAATGACCAGAGATTCCCTATGGGTCAACGGGTCCTTGCGAACGAGACCGTCAGTCGCAGTCGCAAGAGCCTCACGGCCCATCTTCGCAGCCTCGCGAGCAGCACCTTCGCCATCCACCGACACATCCTGTTTCGAGATGTGCGCCGCAGTCGCGTGCGAAGTCGTCGGGGATGTAGAGGCGTTTGAAGCGTCGACTTGGAGCAACTGCCGCGGAGCAGCCTTGTAACTGCGGCCGGATGTCCTGCCAAGCGCGCCCTGGAGGCTGTTGAGCGCTACGCCGCGAGATTAGTCCACTCGTAACACGAAATAAACCATTGCACGCACAAGCCTTCTCCTTCTCCCGCAATCGCGCGTTGCTGACGATACGCTCGACCTGCGCCTCCATTCGCTGCAAGGCGCTTTGACGACGGCCCGCAGGGATTTTCTGCCCAAGGCCAAGACCGACACCGCCGCCTGAGCCAAACCGCAGCACGCGGTCCTCAGATGTCGCAATACCCATGCGCGAGCGAAGAATGGCGCCATATACTTGAGCGTAAAAGTCGTCCGCGTAAGGATCCTGCGTGACGAGCTGCGACACTTGGATACGGGTGATGAAATCCTTGTCCGACTGCGTCATGAGGTCGTTGTAACGGGACTGACACAGATTTGAGCACCACGTGAATCGAGACGACGAGGCTCTATGTCCGGTACTCACCATGTGAGCGATCTTGTCTAATTTGCGCTTACGCTTTTCCTCCATGCGCTCCGCCTCCATGATCTTGCGCATAGCCTCCACCCGAAGCATCTCCTGCAACTCCCGGGCCTCCCTCGCATCGCGCTCAGAGATGCCGGGACCTTGCATAGTGCTGAGGAACTCGGCCTGCGCCATCTCGGCGAGGAGACGCTGTTGCATCTGGATGTTCTGCGGCAGGTACTGCATGTTCTGAGCAAATGGAACTTCGATCGGAATAGGAGGATTCATTATTGCAGGCGACTGTCGACCAACACCACCGCGGCGTCCACGGTCGGACACCGATGGGCTGATACCGCGCTGTTGGAGGAGTTGGTTGTGGAGAAGCTCATTCGCGCTCGCCATCTGTTGCTGTTGCATCCGGAGCTGCCGCTGTTGCCTCTCGAGTTCCTCGAGCTTCAGCTGCTCTTGGAGTTCGAGAAGCTGTTGACGTTCATGCCGCTCGCGCTGTTCCTGGAGCTCGAGGAGCTGACGCTGCTGCTGCTGTTGTTGCAACTGGAGGAGATGGATCTGGTGTTGTTGCTGTTGCTGATGGAAGCGTGGAGACTGAGAGTGTGGGTGCATGCGAGGCGGGGGCGTTGCAGCGGCATGCTGGATTCCGACAGCCGCGGCCCCTGCAGGGCCGACGGTGGGTGGACGTTGCACCTGTGTTCGGGAAGGAGACTGCAACAAGCCATGGGTACCGTGAACCTGAATGGTGTGCTGTTGCTGCAACATCTGCTGCTGGAGTTGGAGCTGAGCTTGCTGCTGGCTCTGCGGGGCTTGCTGCTCTGCTAGCTGGGTTTGTTGTTGGCGATGTTGAGCCTGCGCAGCGGCACGCATCTCCCTCTCGATCTCTTCGAGCGTATGAACTCCCTGGTGCAGATCTGGACCAAGATTAAGACTGGGAGGTCTGTTCACGGGACTCGCCTGAGCAACCGTTGAGGCAAACTTCGATGGTTGCGTGGCGAGATTGTCGTGCACCCTATTGGAGCCATTGCTACGAGGGAGAACAGAAAATGGTGATTTGTTGCCCCAGATTGCATCCAGCTGGGAAGAGTGCGCTGCATGCAGAATGTGAGGATCGGGAGAACAACACGGCTGAAGGTACCGTACAAGATTCGACGTGGGACGGAGTTTGCGCCTTCTGTGGGGTCTGGGAGAGTTGTCGTTGTGGTGGCTCAGCATGTAAATGGGCGGCGTGCGATGGAGTGGGCTGTTCATGCTCTGGGAGAGCGGTCCCGGAGAAATCGAAGTCCTTGCCTGTCCAAATGGCATCCAGGTATGAAGATTAGACTACACGACAGCTGCACACACCTATGTCTCCCGTAGCACCAAACGTCTCATCGTTGAGCTCGTCACCACCCTCTTGTAGTGCTTCTCCGAGACCGTCATAGCTCTCCTCCCCCCATGTGTAAACCGCTACGTCTTCTTGGTTTGCGCCTGACAATCCGCGTTCGAGGAATTTGCGTTTTTCATTCTCGAGGTCGTTGCTTTGCTCGAAGCCGAAGAAGGACATCCGACCAGCATCGACGACAGTAAGATGGAGTGGTTTCCGCCGACAGAGCCCTGGTCCGCGCCGTGATACCTGCGGTAGCCTGCATGTGATGTCCCGATCGATAACTCCCTTACTGCCATAAAATAACCCTGACTCCTGATTTTCTGATTATTTGACGCCAAATATGTTCCTGACGGTCTCGGACCGGCTTCACAAGGCCCAACAACCAGTGGTCAGCAGCGTCGGCTCGATCCGACTCTTTCCTACTAAGTAAACTTGTCGGAAACTCATACTGGCCAAATGGCTATCAGCATATCGGTTTCCGAAAGGGCAACGCTTGATCTGAGGTCTGATGACTTCTGAGATTTACTGGTTCGTGCTCAGGCCTAAATACCCCACTTTAAAGTATTGAATGCCGCACCATGAGTTGCGAGGAAATTTTGAAGTACAGAGGATGTAGTACTTCACAACGAATTCCGCATTTAATTGGCGCTCCAGTCGTCCTGGGAGGAAGTCGGGACCGTGTTGCACGGTGGCTGTGCAATGCATGAGCCACCAAGCGCGCAACTTGACCCAGTCAACGCGACTTGGAATTGAACCACATTGTACCGGTACTTCGTGCCCTGTCAAACCGCACCGCAATATTTACAAAGACCAACATTCTCATTGCAAGTTTACATCCAAGCCCACAACACGATGCAGCCAACGCCGGCTCCGTCATCCCCCGGTAGGAGCTCCCCGCCGCGCGAGTCGTCGCCACCGGTGGCCGCGGCGCCAGGCCATCCACTCATATATCCCGCACCGCCGCAAAACAACGGGAGCGCGCCGTTCCATGTGCTAGCGGCACTTTTTGACAGATTGCAGAATGAAAGAAAGCCTGACAAACGTCGCAAATTGCTCTCGTCGTGGTTCAACGTGAGTGTTTGACGTCTCGGAAGTGTAGAGGAAACTCATCGACATGCGTGGCAGCATTGGCGGAAAGAAATAGGTCCCGATCTATACCCTGTCTTGAGACTCATACTGCCGCAGGTTGGTTTCTGTGACGCTCTGGGGGCTCGGTGGTTGACATCAAATTCGTTTGCAGAAAGACCGCGAGCGAGCTGTATACGGTCTGAAGGAGAAGAACCTTGCAAGGGCCTATATCAAGCTCATCCCTTTGGGCAAACGTGATCCGGATGCGGTGCGACTGCTCAACTGGAAGAAGCCCACTGAAAGAGGCGTGAGTCAGACGGTCGTGAAGCAGTCAGCACTCTAACAGCCGCTCCTTTTGACCAGAAATCGTCGGGCGACTTTCCTACAGTGCTCTATGAGGTCGTGAACAAGCGATCTTCCGTCGTAGAGGGATCTCTGACCGTCGACGATGTCAATGAATACCTGGATCAGATCGCGCAAAACATGGGCAAGTCGTACGTATGCTTGCTAGTCGACCCATGGCTTGTTCATCTCAATCTCTTTATTAGTGATATTCAGTCCAAGATCCTGCAGCGCATTTACAACAGATCGACTCCCGAGGAGCAACGGTGGATCGTGCGCATCATTTTGAAAGGTTTCTGGCATGCCTTTAAACTACAGTCGCGAAAACTCATCGCATCACAGATATGATCATCTCCGTGAAGGAGAACACTGTCTTCGGTGTCTTCCATCCCGACGCTCACGACCTGTTCAACACCTGCTCTGACCTGAAGAAGGTAGCTTGGGAGCTATCCGACCCTTTCCGACGACTGAAGGATGAGGTCACTACTGCCTGTCCGCTTTCCAATTCCTGAAACTCACCCAGACCTGGATTAGGACAAGACTGTCCAGCTATTCCGTGCTTTTGCCCCTATGCTCTGCAAGCGCCCCAACAAGAAGATCGAAGAGTCTGTCAAGGGGATGCAAGGTCGAACCTTTATCATAGAGGAGAAGCTCGACGGGGAGCGTATCCAGTTGCATAAACGGGGCAACGAGTACTTCTACTGCTCACGGTCAGTTTGTGGAGAAACCTAGGTCCCGCAACCGCTGACACCGCAACGTACAGAAAGGGCAAAGACTATACGTACTTGTATGGCAAACACGTCGGTACAGGCAGCTTGACCCCGTATATCGACGCAGCATTCGACGAACGGGTCGACGAGTGCGTTGTCCGCTAGTTATAAGTGATGTTTCTAATCAATCGGTCTGTAAGGATTATCCTGGACGGCGAGATGCTCGTCTGGGATCCCGTGTCAGGACGCAACTTGCCATTTGGAAGCCTCAAAACCGCGGCTCTGGATAGGTCAAAGAAGGAACATAACCCACGCCCCTGCTGTAGGTGATGAGCTCCCAGATACATGTAACCGGATTTCTTATGTCAGTTGTCCAGTCAAAGTCTTCGACCTACTCTACCTCAACGGCATGTCGCTGCTCCACCGATCCACGAAGTTCCGCAAACGGAACCTCCGGTCTTGTCTTAAGGAGGTGCCCGGGCGCATCGAGTTTATAACGGAATACGAAGGGAAGACCGCGAAGGACATACGAATTCGCATGGATGACATCGTTGCCAACCGTGGCGAAGGGTTGGTACTCAAGCATCCGGATGCGGAGTATGTGCTCAACGGAAGGAACAAGGATTGGATCAAAGTGAAGCCAGAATATATGGTACGTTGCGTCTCGCAGTATGCAGCTATCTTTGGCTGACAGTTGGATGACAGGATAACATGGGAGAAACAGTCGATCTTCTTGTCGTCGGTGAGTGCTACGGTCCCTTGGCCTTTCATGCATGAACTCCCCATATGCCTTCAGCCGGGAACTATGGGACTGGCAGACGATCTGGAGGTGTCTCCACCCTCATCTGCGCAGTCTTGGATGATCGACGGTCGAACGACGACGACGAGCCGAAGTGAGCTCGTACCTCTCTGACTATGATGTTTATCGGTACTGATAGCTGTCCTTGACTAGGTATTGTTCCTTTGTGCGCATTGGCACGGGCCTTTCGTACGCCGACTACATCTGGATCCGCCAAAAGCCTTGGAAGGTATGGGGCGTCAATGGGCCTTCATGGCTGCACGTGTCAAGAAAGGGACATGAGGATAAAGGCGACTGTTATCTCGAACCAGAAGAGTGAGCCTATATCTACCGAGCGATTACTTTGCAAAAGGCTCATTTCCCCCGCCTTGCAGCTCGTTCATCCTCAAGATCAAGGGGGCGGAAATCATCAGCTCCGACTTATACTCATTGGGGTTCACCATGCGCTTCCCGCGTGCACTCCGGATCCGAGATGATTTGAGCATCGCGGACTGCATGACCGCCACTGGTACGCGTGACCATCATGGTGTGGTGGATTGATGTGGCTCAAATGAAACCTTATATGCATAGCTGTCCTCGAGAATATTAGGTCCGAGAAGAAGAGGAAGATGGAGGACGATGATGAGTACGACATCTCCTTAGTATCATACCAGCCGTATGTTCACTCTAATATCCTATTGCAGCAAGCCCAAGAAGAAGGCAAAGAAGACGGCCAAGAAGGTTGGTCTCGTTTGCTAGCCAATTTCCTCGCGCTAATGAAGGGGAACCAGCCTACGATCATGCCGGAATACCAAGGGACAAACCTCAAGGATGTACCAGTAGAATCCGAGTTGTTCGACGGTTACAAGTTCAGTGAGTACCTAAGGACCACATCTCTACTTCTTTGTGATGATATCCCGTTCCCAGTGGTGTCCTCCGACCCGAAGTCTAGAACCGGATCTGCGGACAAGAGTGCTCTTCAGCAGATGTACGCTCTCAACTTTGTGCATCGATTGCGGCATTGACATTGTGAATAGGATACATGCTCATGGCGGCAAGGTCGTTCACATCCCCCGCGATGACCCGAATCTGTTCGTGGTATATGGCGGCCAAACAACGCGTACGTATATCTACGATCGACACTCAGCGCTACATATGCGGATGCCGAGATGGTGCTGGCAGCATATGACCTCAAGCTGATCATCAACAAGGACGTATGCGACATCATCCGGCCTCAGTGGATCCTGGACTGTGTGGCAAAGGAGACGATCGTGCCTTTGACGAAGAAGTCCGTTTCTCTACTCAACTGTGCGGGGACTCTGCTAACCTTTGTACAGGTATTTCTTCCACGCGACGACAGCTCGCAAGGAGACCGAAGACTACAGCGCGGATAACAGCGATACCGAGGAAGAATCTCCCCCGCCCTCTTCTCCATCAGCATCCATAAGCAAGACTCCTGAAGAACTTGCTCATGAGAAGCAGGTAGAGAGCCAGATCGATCCATCAATGGCAGAGTGGTTCGATATCGGAGCCAAGTCTAAGGCCACGCAATCACGGGAGGAGGACAGCGGCAGCGAGACGGAGCCCGAGCCAGACGAGGAAGAGCCGGATTCGGAGAACGAGGATGTGCGACCTGAACCGGAGGTCGGCTTCGATGAGGAAGATGGCGACTGGGAGCAAATCGAGAGGGAGGGAGACATGAAGCCTACTCAGAGCGAGAAGGCCAGCGGGAAGGTATGTTGAGGAGAACTGCTTGACCGCAGGTAGCATCAGAAGTGACACCTGTTCACAGGGCAAGGAGGAAGAGTATGTCCGCATGGGAGAAGATGAAGATGCTATTCATTATGACCAGGACAAGATCTTCAAGCATCTGTAGGTTGACTGTCTTTGCCTTTGCCTACCACCGCTGACTCTCGACCAAGGTGCTTCTATGTTGACTCTCCTAGCAAGGCCCGAGAGCTCGGCTTGTCTGTCAAAGCGAAGAACGAGGCAGACGTGGAGAAGCGGTGAGCCTCCCCTTGCGTTTCTCAGAGCGACCTATTCTCATCTGTATACCTACAGCCTGAAAGAGATCGTGAAACTTATCGAGAGCAACGGCGGTCGCGTTACAGACGTTGACGACCCCAAATTAACTCATGTGGTGCTTGACAAGCGTGACATCAGTCGTAGGCAAGAGCTCATCAAGCGCACCTCCAAGTGAGCTCCCATCATATCATACATTGTAAGGTGATGTAGCTGACCCCTATGTAAAGGCCGAAGCGTAGGCATCTCGTTATCGCTGAATTCATTGAGGCGTGCCTCGAGGAAGAAACACTATTAGATGAAGATGGTGAGTGTCTGCTGTACTCGAACAAAAGGTTGTCTAACGGTTACCGCAGAGTTCATGCCTTGAGCTTGGTATTCGCCGTTTGTGTGACAGGAGGGCTGCCGGATTTACTGTATGAGTGTTTGAATATCACGAGACCGGATAGCTACGCCACATGTACCTCATATCTTTCATACGCATCTTCGGAACGGACTGGTACACTCGAATAGTAATACGCAAACGTTCTGACTCCAAGGACACAGACCATTCATGTATCCAAGCAGCTTATACCTATTCGCCGAGCAGTACGAGTGTGATCAACGTGGCCTCTAGCCATTATGAGGCAATTACATGCGTATCCGTTTGGAAGCTCAGGAGATGAGTGGTAATGATGTGCCAAGGCATAGCGTGAGGTGAGGGACTACGGGGGGAAGAGGGGAGCGGATGCAGTGGTGCAATAGTACACGGTGTGGTTCGTATATTGGATGTCGACAGTTCGACGACAAAGCATGCGCGATTACTACAAAGCGAAGCGAACAACACAAGTATCGACAAGCAATCACAGTCAAAATCCGCGGTATCGCAAGGACGGAGGAGGAATGAGGATTGGGGATGTGTGCATGGGACTGGGGACCGGAGACAAGGCGACGCAATGAAGGCATCAGGCCAGGGCTGAACAAAACCATTGCAGGAGAGATGAGAGGGATAGAAGGAGACATAGAGGAAATATAAACAAAGGTGAATGAGAAAATAATCGTATGTACATACAGCTATCGAGATGAGTAATGTATTGGAGGGTACGTCAGACTTGGTACGAGTCCCGTCTATGCAACGACGAACGATACAATGTGAACGTTCACAGACAACCGATCGGAACGGGCGTAACCAATAAGGATAGGTGGAATGAAGCGCAACCACTTCGGGATGGAGATATCGTGGTGAGCCTGAGTAGAATAGCAGTGCGGAGGTTCCAGTGACGTATTGTTGACTGTTATGCAAGAGGGCTGGAGCTCAGCAATCACGGTGACTCGGGGTTGGCGAGTTCGCAAGTGTCGTGTAAGCCGCAAAAAGGTCATTCGCGCTCGAGAAATATTGCGCCAAATCGTCGTCAAACTGGTGGAGGGGATCCCGCATCGAGCTTCGAGACGGCGTCCCGAACGGCGAAGCGATCCGGACGGACAAGCCCGCACTGGTACTGCTGAGGAAAGGCGACCTCTTCGGGGTCCGCGGTGCGGGAGCCGCGGGAGACCGTATTGCGGCGGCAGCGGCTGCGAGATCTCCGGTCCCGGCAACGAAATCGTCCACACTGCCCATACCCAAAAGAGGGGCCCGGGCGCTGAACACGGGGCTCTGAAGAGAATGGAAGGGAAGAGACGTCCCAAACAGGTGGTCGATGTCGGCCGTAAGCGACTTGAACGGCGAAAAGTCGATTAGTTCCGCCTCCAAGTCCTCCACGCGAAGAGGGGTGGACGGTGGGGGCGGGGTGACTATACGATCCGGAGTGGATGGACGTTCCACCCCTTCCGCCTCATTGTCCTGTTCAGCGGCGATGGCCGATGCGACAAGCGATTCATTCAGCTGATGCAACACAGACTGTGCGGTGACAGGTTTGGGGGCGAATGGCGAGGAGCCCACTTTCGGAGGGCTCCTGGGTTTCGTGGAGCTTGACACTCGTCGGGAAGCTGCAGCCATTCCTCGACGCTCGGGCGTGGGCGAGGTTGGCGGATGCATCGCAGCCATCTTCTAGTACTGATCGTTAGCATCGCTTAGTGGATGAGCAACTGGACGGAAAGACGTACCCGTGGTTGCTTCTTGCCTGACGAGCGTGGCGACTTTGCTTTCGCTTTGCCTTTGACCTTCTGAGAGAGATACGTGATCGCGGGCGGAGGCGAATCGGACCGCAACCAGGCAGCCATAGGATCTCCTTCGATATCATCCGTAATCCCTACCACAGGAGGCGGCACATAAGCGATCGCAGGTGACGGATCTCGAGAGCTGTCCCCGGGCAAGCTGAGGTGCGAAGAAGACGTTGGACTTGATGAGGTGCTTAGACTCGAAACCAAGTCAGGTAAGGACGACGACGAAGGCGGACGTTCGATAGGTGAAGATGAAGATGTGAGGTCGTCATCGCCCTCGGTCTCCGTGCTTGCGCCGTCGGTCGACGCATCAGAGGGCACCATGAGGGGCACATCCAGCACGGGAATAGATGCAGCTCGCGCCACGACACGGTGAAAGTTCGACGAAGCTGGTAACGGGGGGAAGAGTACATCCGCAGGGACCTGCTGCTGCTGGAGCCATGCAGCCTCATAGTATGACTGGTGGTTTGGATTCGGCATGACGTGGGGGAAGAACGGAGGCTTGACCGGGGATGGCACTGCTGGAGATCGCTGTTCGTTGCCTTTGCGTCGCTTCGATCGTGGACCTTCCACTCCGTCCTCTGTCGCCCGCTTCCGCCGGGGTGGTACACCGTTCTGCATGTCTGCGCATAGCGCCTTCTTGAAACCTCCACCCTCGAAGCAGGGCAGATCACAGTCGTAAACGGCCCACAAGCTCTTGCCTTCAGCACGTCCCCGCTCCTTCCTGAAGACGGCCATCGTAGACAAAGCATGTCGTACGGAGTTCATCCACGTAGGCTCTCCGCGCCTGTAGTACGGAAAGACGGTCGTGATGTACTCGTAGATGTCCTGAAGGGCCAGAGCGTGCCCTGGTGAGGACAGAATGGCCCTTCCAATGATGGCCGCATATGACAGCTCCGGCTTGGCAGTGGAATACGGGCCCGGGGGAAGGATGAACGGTAGGTGTTCCTCTTCGGGAGGGTCGGGCCTCATAGGCCCAGGCGACGACACGAGGTTGACGACTGGCGGTGGACTTGACTTCGGCGTGGTGGGAAGGGATGAGCCAACGTCGTGTCGGGATGGGGTCTTTGGTATATTGTAACGGGGTGGGGGGACTTTGAACCGGCCTCGTTCACGATTCCGAGAAGGGGTCTCGGGAACATCACTGCTGTCCTGAGAAGACTACTGAGCTTAGCTTGCAGTACTATACATCGACGCGACCATAAGGAGACATACGCTAGCGTGTTTCGACGCGGAAGCTTCTCCGACGACGCGTTCGCTATAATATCTATAGTGGTGAGGTGTGACCGGCGGCCACTGGACGAAATCCAACCATCAGTCACGGCGACGCGGAAACACGGGCCCTACTGACATTAGAAGAAGATGGCCGGTCAACAGCATGGGAAGGAGTGGAGAAAACACGCTCGCCATCGCGTGAACGCGATGTGGAGTCTGATGGGTGAAGTAGACGTGCTTCAGGCCGATGTCCGCGCATACTGTGTAAAACCACGAACGAACCTCTTCTACGAGAAACCTTCTTACGATACTGCTCTTCCAAAATCATCTCCATCTGGTCTCGTGGACGCGAGGGGCCTCCTTCTGGGCGGTCGTGCCTCGCTGGGGTACGTGGTGGGGCGGGCGAGGGATTGCGCGACGACGAGCTCGAGACAGAGGTAGAGCGAGAGCGACCTCCATCGAAGCTGTCAAGTTGATGTCGCCCGTTGGAAGGTTGTTGCGCCGCCGCGGAGGGTCTCGGGACGAAAGGCTGGTTGCAGAGGAGGCCTGAAGATAATTCTGCTTGTTTGGCGGCGAATTGCTCTCTGGTCATGCCTAGTCGACTAAGAGTCTCTGAGACAGAGACTTCATGCGACGATGGAAAGGGTGCGAGTGGCCGCTGAGAGCGGGACGCCATGATAGACTGAGGGAAGAGGGGGAGAGAGAGTGCAAGGGCGCAAGTCGCGACCGCCCCGGTAGACGCCCCGACGTACGGTACTGGCTTATCCGGATAAGGCAGCTGTATGCCTCTCAAGCGGGACTTATGTCAGCAGCAGGCCTTGAGCTTATCGGCGCATATCAGCCAGGGTTAACGTTAAGCATCCAATAAATAATCGCGGGGAAAAGGTGGCAGCTGTGTAGGCTGAGCACACGAAGACGCGGTCCGACTCTGGCATCCATACACTGCAGCAGCTCCCTCTCGTCCCCGGCCGTCTCCTCGTAGGATGCCATACCACAATCTCAAAGGTAGCTGCCTAATTCCATGTCTTCTGAACGCATCTCAATCATCCGACAGCCTTGATCAAGGGCATTCGCGCTTGTAAGGTCAGTTTGCCTACAGCCATCCGTTCACACACCCGATGGCATGGCTAATCCTAGCAGACCGTTGCAGACGAGCGCGCCTTGATCAAGCAAGAGTCGGCCGCTATCCGTGCTTCATTCCGCGAAGAGGACTCTTACGCAAGACACAACAATGTCGCCAAGCTCCTCTACATCCACATGCTTGGCTCGGAGGCCCACTTCGGCCAGATGGAATGTCTCAAGCTTGTGGCAAGTCCCCGCTTTGCCGACAAACGGCTGGGATACCTTGGAATCATGCTACTTCTGGACGAGAACCAAGAGGTGCTCACGTTGGTGACAAATTCCTTGAAAAAGTGCGTCATCCCTGCCTTGTCCATTGGTCTACCTACCCATAGGCCCACAGCGACATGAACCATGCCAACATGTATGCCGTCGGCCTTGCCCTCTGTACGTTTGCCGACATCGCATCGGAAGAGATGTCTCGAGACCTGGCAAACGAGATCGAGAAGCTCTTGGGTTCGAGTAATACTTACATCCGCAAGAAGGTGTGCACTCCTCGTAACCCGATCACCACTATATCGACCTTCGTATCAGGCAGCCCTTTGCGCACTCAGGGTAGTACGCAAAGTACCCGAACTTGCCGACCACTTCACTGCCAAAGCCAAGAACCTGCTCGCCGACCGCAACCACGGAGTGCTCTTGACCGCCATTACCCTCGTTACGGAGATGTGCCAACTAGATGCCAACTGTTTAGAAGAATTCCGTAACGTACGTCTGCGTGCATTTCCATTGTCGTGCAACTGCCTTGACATGTTGACGATAATATGCAGGCTGTCCCTTTGCTCGTACGACATCTCAAGGCCCTGGTCACCACTGGCTATAGCCCTGAACACGACGTCTCCGGGATCACTGATCCTTTCCTCCAAGCCAGGATCCTGCGTCTTATGCGCCTTCTGGGTAGGGGCGACCCGAAAGCGAGCGAGACCATGAACGATATCCTTGCCCAAGTCGCGACCAACACCGACTCGACCAAGAATGTCGGAAATTCCATCCTATATGAGACCGTCATGACCGTCCTCGAGATCGAGGCAGACAGCGGCCTGCGGGTCATGGCCATTAACATCCTTGGCAAGTTCTTGAGCAACCGCGACAACAACATCCGGTACGCCCTTCCTTATGCTTACCTGTCTCTCACTGTCCCGCTAAGACTATCACGTATGCCAGTTATGTCGCGCTGAATACGCTGAATAAGGTCGTCGCGATCGACACTAACGCCGTGCAGCGGCACCGGAACATCATCCTCGACTGCCTCCGTGATGGCGACATCTCGATTCGGCGGCGCGCGCTCGAGCTTTCATACGCCCTCATCAACGAGCAGAATGTCCGCATCCTCATCCGCGAGCTCCTCGCCTTCCTCGAGGTCGCCGACGACGAGTTCAAGCTTCCGATGACGACCCAGATTTGCCTCGCCGCCGAGCGCTTCGCGCCCAACAAGCGCTGGCACATCGACACGGTGCTACGCGTCTTGAAGCTGGTGCGTTCCTCTTCCGAGAGCGTGTACTGCAGTTCATGACTCCACGATGGTGATGAAATGTCTATCTTCTAGGCTGGTAACTTTGTCAGGGAAGAGATTTTGTCCGCATTCATCCGACTCGTGGCGCACACGCCGGAGCTGCAGGGATACACGGCGTCGAAGCTGTACACGTCGCTCCGTTCGGATATCTCGCAGGAGTCGTTGACTCTAAGTGCTACGTGGGTGATCGGCGAGTACAGCGAAATCCTACTGGAGGGTGGTCTGGTAGACGAGGAGACTCCCAGAGCGGTAAGACGTGTCTTACTGGCCGCGCCTGCAAACGCTCACCGGAACGCACCCGTAGGTCACGGACAAAGAGCTGGTCGATCTCCTGCTGTCCATTTTGGACTCCCCGTATGCCAACTACCTCACACGTCAATTCGTTCTCACCGCGATCACGAAGATCTCGTCACGGCCGACCACGACCCCCGCTCAGCAAGAGCGAATACAGAACGTGCTTCTCGGCTACGCCACTAGTCTTGAGCTCGAGATCCAGCAGCGCGCGGTCGAGTTTGCCAGCTTGTTCAACCTTGGCGAGGTCCGCTCTGGCGTTCTGGAGCGTATGCCCGCGCCCGAGCTCAAGGCTACCGTTCTCGGTGTCGGTACGTTTACGATATCGCCAGTTGACACTGTGATCCCAGGCTCACCTTTTGGCCAGTCAGTGAGAACAAGCCCGTTGGCTCCGTGGCTCCTGGCAAGGATGCGGACCTTCTGGGCGATGACATATCCAGCACGCCGGCACCAAATGGCACTCCTACCGTTCCAGCCACTCAAGACCTTCTCGCGGAGATCTTCGGCAGCTCCGCTTCACCCCCACCCACGTCTACAGGCTCGCCTGCCCCCGCCGCACCCCAACGAAACGTCACCCAAGACATCCTCAGCCTTTTCGACGCTCCCGCCTCTTCATCCCCTGCAACCTCCTCTCCCCCCGCAGCGGCAGCTCCTGCCCCCTCGATGCAGTCCATCTTCGGCGCAGCGGCCGCCATACCCCAGGCGGCGTCGCCACCTCCCGCGACAGCGGCCGCGCCGTCCGGATACACGGCATACGAAAAGAACGAACTGCGTATAACGTTGTCGCCCCAGACGTCGGCGACGCGGCCGGGTCTCGTGCGGATCATCGCGCATTTCCAGGCGACGGGCGCGAACCCGGTTGCAGACCTCAACTTCCAGGCAGCGGTGCCCAAGTCGCAGCAGCTGCAGATGGCGCCCATTTCGTCTCCGACCATCCGGCCGGGCATCGTGGAGACGCAAGAGCTGCGCGTTCTGAGTCCCGCTGGCGTAAGTCTTTCCGTCTCCCCTTCTCCGTCGACGTGCATTGATGCTGATCGTTCCTCCCGCACAGGCGGCCCTCCGGCTGAAGTTGCGGATAGCGTACAACGTCGGCGGGCGCGCGGTGCAAGAGGAGATCGTCTTCTCTGGATTCCCGCCGGGGTTGACGGGCGGATCGTAATGATCGCGCATTGCTTGTTGCATATCGTTCAGTATCTTATCGACTCACCGTGCAATATCCGTGTCCTGTTTACGTGTAGCCTGGCGCTGTAAAGTTGTGAATCTAATGGATTTCTCTTGTCTCTTGTCATGCAGCTATGTGAGTTCGACACTATGAAATCGACAGCTTGAGGTGAGTTTGCCACTACTATCTGATGTTGGTCCTTTCCTGACTCCTCTCTGCAGCTTTCTGGTGGCGAGAGGACCTTCCGAGTAGATGTTACGCGGCCCGGTGTCACTGCGTCCCGAAAGGGCTGCCTCGTGCCTAGTGCTGATACTTGTGGCCCCATGACGGCGCTTGTCGGAGCATAGGTTTGAGACAAAGTTTGAGAGAAGTTTTGCGCTTTGTCTACGTACTCTTCCAAGCTCTCCAGTCTCACGAGTCGGTCGGTGGGTATATCGTTCTTTGGTGCATGCCTGTGCTGAATCACATCTCGCAGTCCAATCCCAGCAGATCTCACTGTGCTCTATTACCCATGCCAAATCCTCCAGTCACTCCGACTTTCGCCGGAACACCCTTTGATAACCCCGCTGCCGACGTCGTCATCCGATCGCGCGACGGAGTGCACTTCCGTGTGCGCAGTGCTATCCTTGCGGAGGCTTCCCCTGTCTTCTCCGAGATGCTTGTCTCGCCCGAATGTGAGCGTACAGCAGACGGAAAGTACATGATTGCCATTGCGGAAGAGAGCGATACGCTAGATCCTTTGCTCCGCTTATGCTACCCTGTAGCGGACCCAACCTTCGCCAGCCTCACGGACGTACGCCTCGTGCTTGCTATCGCCATCAAGTATAAGTTAGAGGAGGCGAGCCTCATCCTGAAGAAGACGCTCCGTGCCTATATGAAAGATGAGCCACTGAGGGTGTGGGCGTCAGCCTGCCTTCTCCGACTCGAAGATGAAGCGCGAGGTGCAGCCCATGCGCTCTTCGGGAAGGAAATTCCCGTCAAGGCCCCGCCGGAGTTCGAAGAGGTCTCGAGCGGAGACTACTTCCGCCTCACGAAGTTCCTGCGAGCGGGCGGAAACGTACCGGAGTCCTTCAAGTTTTGGGAACCAGCAATGGAGGACATTCCTGCAGCCAAGGACGAGAAGAAAACGCGGCTTTCACTGGATTCCAGTCCACCTATAATTGCTTTCCAACCTCGTCCTTACGCTGACATCATCTGCCGCTCATCCGATGGAGTAGACTTCCGTTCGCACAGAATCATTCTCTGCCTTGCATCGTCGGTCCTCGAACAGAAGATCGCCCACCTGTGCCCCGATCCTCCTCGCCCTGTCACAGGAAGCTCTTCTACCCTTCCTATCCTCGAGCTAGATGCACCTAGATCAGCTCTAGGGCCTATTCTAGAAGCCTGCTACCCGACCAAGCGACGCCTCCACCTCGAGATAGACCTGCACGAGCTCATGACAATGATGGACTGTGCACGGAAGTACGACATACAGCAAGCCTTGGACTCTCTAGGCCGCGGAGCATTTTGGCTCGCCTCCCGAGAGCGCCCCTTGGCGAGCTACCTACTCGCCGCCAGGATGGGATTCTCGGACTATGCGAGATCCACCCTTTCCAACCTGAGTGGCGAACTCCAGATTTACGGATGTCCGCCTGAGATGGAGGATACTCCGGCCACTATTTACCACCGTCTACTAATCAATCGCCACCAGAGTTATGCAACAACTTCGAGGCTGACGGGAACAGCCATAACCGGAACTCCCACCTCGACAGCTCCCAGCAACGCAGCGGCCAGTCCCAGCAGAAAGACCAACACCAAGTCCACGACAAAACCGACAGTCAAGGTCCCCGAGGTTCCTGACCCCCGCGATCCTTGGCTACTGAATCTCTGGCGACAGACCGCGCATGGTTTGCAGGGATGCAAGAGCACCGACATTTGGAGATACGAGCCTAACCTCGCGAAGCTACTGAAGGAGTCCTTGGCGAAGAAGATTTGGTGTACGAAGTGTGAGATGAACCTCGGATTGATGTCTGCATTGCACGACATGTACAAGGATGTCCGCGCTGCTAAATTTGACCACGATGTAAGCCCTCAATCAAAAATACACTGCGCCGAATACTGATGATCTGGCAACAGTACAGCAGGAAGGCTCTGGCAGGATAGAATGCGCGAATCTCGTGAGTCACATGCCATGTCGTCGACGTTAAGTGCACAACGCTTCATGTCGTGCATGGATCCTTTCATATCATACCCTGCCCCATATCTGTCTTTATGCACCTCAGCCATGTATCCCAACGTCGAACTTGCAATGACGTTCATCGTAGTAGAGAGAACTAGAGTACCATACACGAAGCCAGCACCTACTATTACAACAATAACTATTAGGAAAGACTACCCATTCATATGAACATCTGCAGAGGCTGACGGTCATATACATTTTGCCCCTCGCTCAGCTCACCGAGGTCGGGGTAGAACGGCACGAGCGCGTCCTCTGCACCGAGGTAGAGCGAGTTATATATCCTCCAATACACCTCCCGGACCTTCCTCGCAGGGTGAAACAAGCCCTGGAGGACGTAGCTGAGGAGAACGCCTGGGCCGAGGGTGACGCGCATCGCCTCGATGGCTTCCATAACCGCGCCGATGACGTGCGGGGACGTCTCGAAACAGTTCGGCCAGACTAGGTTCATGAGGTGAAGCATCGAGTCTTCGCAGCCAAGTCCAGCGACACCGAGGGCCAAATGCTTGACGATAGTACTCGCAGTCTGTCGGTGAACGAGATCGCGGTCGGTGAGGGCGTCCTCGAGCATTGTGACGACGGAGTCGGCGTAGTACGCCGACTGCGGTCCGACGTATTCGAAAACGAAGGACAGGGCCTTCAAACAACCCGTACGGACGTTGAGCTCCGCAGTACGATACTCGTTGAGAATGGCAGGAATGCAGGTGAAAGGACCGCAAGTCTCCGCGACGATGGCGATAGCGACGGTACTGCAGACACGCGATTGACGCTCTTGCACGCGCAGGTTCGTCAGCAGCACCTGAAGGACATCCTGGGGACCCAAACTCTTCGCGATATAGCCAAAAGAGTTGACGGCCGCACGACGGATACCCTTCTTGTGCGCCTTGAGAAGGTCGAGCAACTCGAAGCAGATTCGCATCCACTCCCGGGCGGGGACAAACTCCGCGCCACGATCTGCGATACGACCAATCAGGTTGATGGTGGCTTCCTGCACCTTCTCGTGACGGTTGCGCAGGATGGGCGTCATACGGGGCACTGTGGATAAGCATCGTCAACACAGGACTGAAGCACAGTATGGAGTGAGGTAACTTACAGAGATCCTTTACGGGCGGGTTCATTTGCGTCATACCGACGACGTTTGCAATCGCGCCCTCGGCAGCAATGATACTGCCGAGCGTATCCGGATACTCCTCACCGAGCTGCTCGAACAGGACGAGGCCGAGCTTGCTCAGCAACTGATCTTCGCCACATTGCTTGATGACGACGGCGAGACGGGTGGTGAGGTCGGCGGCCTGCTGACGGACCTTGGCGCTCTTGTTGTTCAAACGCCAGAGAATGGTCGAGACAATTTGAGTCAGGTATGGCTTGACTCGGATGCCTGCGGATGGGACGTGTCAGTATCGCGCGGGACAGTGGTGGTGTAAGGAGACGTACCGAGTGCGTTGACGACGGTGCCGAACCCGTCCAACATGACCTGATCCTCCGTTGTCTGCTCCTGGAACGCGTAGATGATACCATCGACCAGACGAACTTCCAGACGTTCGTCGATGTCCGAGGCACCGAGGGACGCGACAACCTTGGTGATGGTCTCCATAACCATCTTGCGGTACGGCTCCGCCTCGTCCTTGAGCTCGTTGACGATCCTCCCCACGATCTCCGCCACACCCGCCTTCTGCGCAAGCTCGACGGTGGTCTCGACAACCTGACGGTAATTCCTCCGGTCGAGGGCCATGCGGCGGACCCAGAACGCCTTGAAGAAGTCGGGTAAGATGTCCTGTTTGATGTACTGGGCCGTGACGCCCTCGGTCGCCGCACACTGCTGCACGACCTTCAGGACGATCTTCTTCATCTCCTCGTCCGACGTTTGGAACTCGCGGATGAGGATGATGGTGACTTCCTTGATATAGTACGAGACGTACTCCGGGTCCATGAGCGGGAGGATGAAACCGATGGCTTTCAGGAACGCTGCGAGAGACTTGCCACGGTGGAGACGGATACCGACCCAGAGCGGCTTGAGGACGTTATCAAAAGATTCGATACCGTACGGCGCAGAGGCCTCCGCCAAGGCAGCCAGGGCCAGGGCAGTCATCGTCCGAACCTTTGTTTGTTCGTCCTGAAGACCGTGAGCAATGCACTCAACGAGGTTGCGCAAGTGAGGCAGGACGGCGCAACCCATCATGATGGCGATTTGCTGCACAATACGGATACCGGTATGACGAGCCTGCCATGACTTCTTACTGCGACAGACCGCCTTCAGGAAGGGGAGCAGGGAAGGAATACCGAGAGCCGATGCGACAACGGAGAACGCGCGTGCGGTGGTGTTGCGGACATACTCGTCGGCGTGGTCGATATCAGGACGCATGGTGGAGATCATGTGCGCTAGACCGGCAGCTTTCGACAGGTTGGAGATGATCTCACGACCTTCGACACGAGCATAGTAATCCTCGTCGATGAGCAATGGCTCGATGACGACTAGGATCTTGTGCACGTACGGGCGAACGAGGTCGTCCAGCTTGTAAAGGACACGGTCAATGACCTTGACGAGCAGGTGCCGTTCCTGATCCTCGAGGGTACGCTCCATGAGAAGAGGGAGGATCTTGTCGAAGAGAGGACCAGCGCCGAAGTCACGAGCCTTGTCGGTGATCTGACGAAGGGCGGTCTTACGGACGGGAGGCGTACCGTTCTTGATTTTCAGAAGCAAGCGCATGATTTTGCGCTCCTTCATCTCGTCTACCGATAGCTCCGTCTCGTCCTCCTCCTTGAGGATCTTCGCAAAATACTGCGCATCTTCAGGCTTGAAGAAGGCCAAGTTACCGACACCAGGGATTTCGGTGGGAAGTTCAGGCGCAAGACCAGCAGCTGCGGCTGCGGCTGCTGCATCCGAGCTCTCTTGTATTTGGAAACCCCCGACCTCGGTGACGGAGGGACCAGAGAGCTTCGGCGGCCGGATGAGGGGAGCGTAGCCAGGAGGGGGGGTGACGATAGCATAGCCAGCAGAGGGAAGGATAGCGTCGAGCTCCTCGTCCGTGAGGTACCGGTTGTGCTTGTCCTCGTGCATGAGACCCGGGGCGTTCATGATGATTGGCGTCATCGGGACCTCCGGAGCAGCGGCCGGGGCTTGGTCCCAGCGCGACCTCTTCCCACTCGGAGTCTCCGCTGCGACGTCGGCGGGAGTCGCGTCCCATCTAGAACGCCGCTTCTTCGGCGCAGCGCCCTCGAGAGCCTCTTGGGACCACTCACCCTTGACCTCCTTGTTCTCCTTCTCTGACTCGGGCTCTGCGATGTCCCAGCGCCGCTTGCGCTTCGTGCCCTGCATAGCGGCAAGCTCATTCTGCGCCTCCTCAATCTCCGCGCGCGGCGGTGTCTTGTCGAGGTCCATCTTCTGCTGCCCCTCCTCCCGCTCCTGTCTCTCCTTCTCCTCGATCGCCCTCCGCACCCGCTCCTCCTCCTTCTCCAGGCGTTGCAGCCTCATCGCATCCTTGTAGCCTCCCTCGACGTCCTCTCCTTCGACCACGGCCTTGAAAGCGTCGGCACTATCGTGCGCCTGGCGGTTGAACCGACGATTGTGGTAGTCGGACTGGCGCGCTGCGATCTGCCGCTGCTTCGCCGTCTCTGCGAAGGGGTCGATGTCCTCTTCCTCGGCCATCTCTGCGAACTCCTGCAGCACCTCCTTCGGCGCCGTGTAGGAATCGACGAGTCTAGGTTCGGACATGGCGAGTGTATTAAAGAGCGAATGTAGAAGTGTTCAGAGGGGTGGTGGGAGTTACCGTCCGAGTCGTGGACGACGAGCTGAGTAACGCCACCGCAACTTGGCCACCTTTGGAGCTCCGCCTCAAATTGTGCCCCACCTCCTCCAGCGCCTATATGCTCACATGAGCGCTTCAATGGCGGTTGGGCTCTGCGAAACCTCCTCCCGACTCTGCTGCGGCATCTGTGCCACCTCTGCGTCACGGTCGTCAACAATTCTGACGCCTCAAGCGCACTTGTAGCCCTACATACGTTGAAAGATGTCCACCCGTGAAGCTGACCGAATCTCTGCTGCCGAAGAGACGCTCAACAGTACGCTTGCTCATTCGCCTCCATACACATAGGCCTATAACCACCTGGATCGTGCGACTGCGTAGCCCTCTTTGATATGTCTCAACTGTTGAATACTGGTCTTGACAAGGAGACCCTCGCGACATGCGTCAGTCTGATCGAAAGCGGCGTGAACCCGGAGGCCCTCGCGGTACGTGTATCCTACGGCGGACTCACAGGAAGATATTCAAAGAGCACCTTGGGCACACAGGCTGTCATACAGGAGTTACGTCGAGAGAGCACAGCTTTGAAGAACTCTCGCACAGCGACAAACGGCCGATAGCTCAAAGATTGTCTGTGCTTTGAAGATTTGTACATTCGTCTGTGTAACCTGAAGGATTACCATGCGGGTGGATGACCCGATAAGGCCATGGCGTGTCATCTTCCCACGTGAAAGCTAGAGAGGACTGAGAGGCAAGTACTCCCGACACGGTCACCTGTACTTCACATAGCCGTCGCCCCCTATACATACTGCAACCACGGCTTTGAGTACTTCCGGCGTAATGCTGACTCATGCGTATATCGCTATCTGACCAAGTACTAATGCTATGACTAGACCGTCGCAGGCAAATTCTGCCTCACACAGCAGCCATTACGTATCAACGTTGACCTACGAGGTGCTATATAGGTTTCAAGTCCACTCACCAACGTTGCTCATCCACTTGTCCTTGACAGCTCTGCCGCATAAATCAACTAAACTCACGCTGTCAGCACGATGTCCGAGTACACATCTCCCCTAATTGGATACGAAAACGCGGAGCCGCTGCCGACGACGTTCAATGCGGACGGCAAGTCCTTGTACAACCCTCCAGGCCCCCGCTCCGCCGCATACGACGAATTCCCCAAGCCCATCGACTCTTCTAACAATGGCTTCGACTTCCATAGTACGTGTTGTGCCTCTCTACATCATCGCGCTGAGCTCACAGCGTACTAATGCAGTCTATTACTTGCCCAACGCACCGGAGGAGGCGAAATACGCGGCAGAGCTGCACGAGCGCATACGACGGGAGTTCCCAGAGGTCAGTACGACGATATCAGATAAGCACGAGCTCGCGCACTGACGTCACGGCGTTCACAGCTGCGCATCTACAGGTTCTGGGACAAGCCCGTCGGTCCCCACCCCGTGCCCATGTTCGAGGTGAACGTGTTCAACCCCCACCAGACCGGGACCCTCTTCTCCTGGCTGGTGGTCAACCGCGGACCTTGCTCGTGAGTCGCCCAGGATTGTGATGTCCCTCGACCGACGTTGAGCATGCCCGGTCATTTTTGAATAGGGTCCTCATCCATCCTAACACCGGTGATGCGCTCAAGGATCACACCGAGCTGGCGACTTGGATCGGGAAGCCATATCCGCTCAATGTCCGCCCACTCAAGCGTTCGCACAACTAGCATTGAGCGTTGTATATACCATGTGCTGCACAGATTGACGCGGTGTCGGGAGTTTTCCGTCGCCAGAGCGACTACTTTACTGCTTGAATGGTAAACACGTTGTTATGGTAGGATATGAAATAGGATCGTTCCCATGGATGAGAAGCTATCCCACGATGCTCTATTGCTGTCTGCTTCCCTTCACACTCGCGGTCGAATGTCCGTGTTGTATAGCGCGAGTCCCTACGCACGTCCTCCCGTATTGTCTAGAGCATTGGGATGCGAGAAGTTCATAGGATGACTACAGTACTTGGTGGTCAGCTAGCGCTATGCGTACTTGGGGTTTGGGTGGCAGGAGAGGGGCCTTGAACGGAATACTCAATGCGGGCTTGTGCGGCTCCCCGCCTTTTGCACTTTACACCAGAACGCCCGAGACGACAGCGACAAGATCAATACCTCACACAACCTCTCACGTCGGGAAGCTCTATCCCAGCCCGCGTTCCCCTTTTTGACCGATGCCAGTACCAGTACGCTGAAGTTCTCGTGCCTTCCACTCGGTAACACAAGGCCGACGAGTGAAAGTTGGCTAACGAAGCTCCGGATGGATCGGCAACTGGCCGTCGGCACTGCCAAGGACGTCCCCGGCGAACATGGCTTTGTGACCACATAGTGACTCACATCCCAGCTTGAACGCCTTGTTCCGCCAGGCGAGGGCAAGGCAGACACGCCGCTGGCAGACGCTTCATGCTACTGTAGCGATGGGGAACGCTACGCATGGGTCATGCTTGGGACTATCCGTGAGTTTTCCGCGTCTGGTGAGGGCGAGGCGCGCTGAGGCCCGGCTTGGGCCGTCATACAAACCAGCTGGGCGTGACGCCGTGCTGATGCCGGCGCAGTGAGCGTGACGGGGTTGAGTGTCCGAGCGAGCATCGGCCAGACGACTCGGACCTCGCCCAGACTCGCCCCCCCCCGAGCACGTTTGAATGGTTTGGGCGAGCGACCGAGGTCTATTAGACGTAGAACATTCATCCGCCTGCACCGCCTGGCCCTCCGAGTCCGACCTCATTCGATTTCCTTCATAAACGAGTTGCCGCGCCCGCCAGGCACCCTCCAATACTCCACCTTTACGACTCGACTAAACTCGTCAATCTTTTCTTCACGACCTCCCCCTCCCCTCCCTTTCGCGATGCGGTCTCTCAGCTTGCTCCTGCTGACCGCCTCGCTCTCCCAGTGCGCGTTCGCCTGGCAGGGTGGTCACCGCGACATCCATCCCGAACACACCCTCCGCGAGCTGCACACGCGAAACATCGTCTACAACGGCCAGATCGCCAGCGCGTACGACTTCGTCATCGTCGGCGGAGGCACCGCAGGGCTCGCACTCGCCTCCCGCCTCTCCGAAGACTCCAACACCACCGTCCTCGTCCTCGAAGCCGGCGACACCGGCGACGCCGTCGCCAGCAGGATCAGTGCGTCCTCCCGCTCGTACGAGCAGTGACATCATATTGATCGTTCGTATCACCTCGCTCTATTTACAGACGTCCCCGCGAACGCGTACTATCAGGGCCTCCCCGGCTCGTCGTACGACTGGCAATACCAGACCGTCAAGCAGGCGCAGGCCGGGTCCAGGCAGCTCGTATGGCCGCGCGGCAAGGTGCTCGGCGGCTCGTCGGCCATGAACGGCATGTATCACGTCCGCCCGTCCAAGGTTGAGATCGACACATGGGCGAGCCTCATCGACGGCGGCTCCGACAAATGGAGCTGGGACAAGCTCTTCGCCGCGATGCAGGAGAGCGAGACGTTCACGCCCCCGTCGGCCACCGTGCAGGGCGAGGGCGACATCCAGTTCGTTGCCTCCAGTCGCGGCACCAGCGGACCCGTGCATGTGTCATATCCGGGCTTGTGCGTACACCCTGCTCATCCGACGCTTTTATACATGTGCTAATACGTCTGCCGCAGCATGCTTCCCGTCGTTGGCAACTGGACGCCGACATTGGCTAACGTTGGCGTCGCCTCCACCGACGACGCGTACGGTGGAGATGGTTGGGGCACATTTGTCGCAACGTCTTCGATCAATCCTAGCAACTGGACGCGCTCATATGCTCGGTCGGCTTACATTGACCCTCTCCCTCCTCGCTCCAACCTCGCCATCCTCCCTAACGCAACCGTCACTCGCATTGTCTTCGACACCTCGAACGCGAACAACTTAACCGCGACGGGTGTAGAGTGGGCCTCCGCAGATGGCGCTGCACAGCAAACGATCAAGGCGAACAAGGAGGTCATCTTAGCCAGTGGTACCATCGGCAGCCCGCAAGTGCTGCAGTTAAGCGGTGTCGGGCCGTCTGACGTCTTAAAGGCCGCGGGGGTGAACGTGCTGCTTGACCTGCCAGGTGTTGGACAGCATCTGCAGGACCACATTGTACGTGTTTCTACGGCCGTTTTCGTCTCCTTTGCTGATAGCCATCTTGCTCTAGAGCACGGAAGTCACTTGGAACGCCAACATCGACACGGCAGGCTCCCTGCACGCCAACGATGCGGACGGCAACACTGCCGTCTTCATGTCCTTCATCAACTCCGCCACTGCATACGTGAACATCACCAATCTCCTAGGAGACTTCGCGTCACAGTTCCAGCAGGAGATCGCCGCCAACTACTCCTCCTCGCTCGCCAACCTCTGCCCCAGCACCGACGCCACGGTCCAGAAGGGCTACGAGCTGATCCACAACACCACCCTCAACACGCTCCTCACGAGCCCCATCGGCCAGGTCGAGATCCTCCTCAGCCTCGTCTCCGCAGGCTCCATCTCCGTGCAGGCCGCGCTCCAGCACCCCTTCTCGCAGGGCCGCATCTACATCACGTCCAGCGACGCCTTCACGCCGCCCGCGATCGACCCTCAGTACCTCTCGCACCCCGCCGACCGCGTCGTCCTCCGCGAGGGCCTCAAGCTCGCGCGCAAGATCGGCCAGACCGCCCCGCTGAGCAGCGCGCTCGGCCAGGAGACGTACCCCGGCGCGGGCGTGCAGACGGACGACGACTGGGACGCGTGGCTCGCGACCACGATCGGCACCGAGTACCACCCGTCATCCACATGCGCGATGCTGCCCCTCGACGCGGGCGGCGTCGTCGACGCGGACCTCAAGGTGTATGGCCTCGCCAACGTCCGCGTCGTCGACGCGTCCGTGTACCCGCTGTCGTTCTCCGCGCATGTGAGCACACATAAATTTTTGTATTTATATTCCGCCCATTGCTGATGCGTTTTTGCCAGCTGCAAGCACCGACGTACGGCCTCGCCGAGCAGGCCGCGAAGATCATCCGCGCGACGTACAACGGCGTCGGCTGGCCGTCTGCCAGCGGTGACAACTCGGCTTCGGGCTCGAACACCTCGACGACCGCCGCGGCGCCTTCGTCTACTAACGTCACGACGGGCCACAAGAACGGCGCCTCGACGCTGTCGTACAGCGGCTCGCTCGTGCTGGCCGTCGCTGGCGCGCTCGCCGCGCTGCTCCTCTGAGGCCCCGTCACGCCGGATCCGTGATGTGTGATGCCGGTTTGTTTTGTAGCTGCCATGCATGCATTGGCACGGACTTGTAGCATCAAGGACTGCTCTCGTGTTTTCGCTACTGCTGTTGCACTGTTCCCGAGGGAACGACCGTGCGTCCTGTCTCTAACTCGTCTCAGCTCACCTCTCTGTGGTGATGGACACTGTCTGTATTTGCAATTGACTCTGCTACCTGCATATCGACCCGTGGCTGCCGCCACGGCCTCCCCTACTCTTCAGCTACCTACATAGTGTATGTGCGGACTGATGCTTGCGGCCTAATACTGCATGCAAGACAGTAACCCCCTATCTACGATCCCGTCCGCTTAGTTCTGTACCTAACCCCGTTGACTCCATCCACATCGTTATTCCGAACTCTCCCTTTGCATTGTTCTATCTCACGTGTAGGATACCCTCGCAATACCTTATACCGCCCTTGGTAGATTGTATCCCGTTCCGTTGACATTGGCCTCCCCATATTGTACCGTACCGTAGAATGTGAGCGCTGGTTGATAAGTCTGAGCAGTCTCCCGCCGGGTAACCCTTCATAACCTTATGTTGGAGGAGGCGTAGGTCTTCTCCTTGTCGTTGTGAACGAGCTCCCAAGACCCTAGTTTACAGTGCGCCTCCCGATTCAAATGCGAGCTGCCAAGAATCGTTTAGAACGTGAAGGGTCTGCCTTACTGACTCATTTGCAAGTGGGTCCTATACTCACGTCATTCCGAAAGAGCTCGTCGCGTATCTTCTTCCAGGCATGGCGCGTGTCCGTCAACAGCCGTACATTGTGCTCGCATCGTTGGCACCATATCTTGTTCGCCAGCGAGTCCGACAACAGCTGCTCGTAGTCCGGCTGTATACGATACAGGTCCCTCGTCGTATCTGCGTCACCAAGCTTGTCCGCATAGGCACGGACGACACCCTGGACCCAGGGGTGTCCGTCAGCCGACCGCAGACCCGCCATAGTCTGAATTTTGGTGTCAGAAGCAGGTGGGGGCGCAGGCCGCCCGACCTTCGCGGCCTGGGCAGCTACGAGCACCCTGCTTCGGCGGCGATGCATGAGCAGGTGGTGGTAAGCGTGGGCCGGGGTCCGCTCCATCTCGGGGTGATAGCCGTACGACTCGTACACATCGTGGCGCATCTCCGAGGCTCTGGATTTGGCGATGTCAGGGAAGCGCAGTTGGGCGGCGAGTAGGTAGCCCAACAGGGGCTGGCGATCTGCTAGGGTGAGGTACGGCCCGCAGCGGAGTCTGAGCAGAATATCTGCGAAGCCGAAGTGCCGAGCGGCGACCATCATCCCTACGATGCCGTATATCGAGTGCCATTCATAGACAGATGGTGGTCGTTCGGCATAACACATGTCGAGCAGCGGACCTAAAAACACGCCCTCGACACCCATCTGAAGCACGGGCAAGGCGTCTGGAGGTGGAGGTCCTGAGACTGCTTCGGGGCATAGGGCAGTGATGCCGTCGCGGAGAAGAGGTGAGGCAAGGAGGAGGGTGATCCTATGAGCTCTGAACTCCTGCCCGTCAGACGAGCGGCAAATGATGTCGGCATAAGGAAGGGATGTAAACCCGAGCTCACGAGTGCAATGCCAAGGCTTCGCGGTGGAACTCTTGGACGGTGGCGGCTCTGCAGCAGCAGAACCAGCTTTGAGGAATGTGAAAGACTCCTCGACAGCACCCTTGGACCGCAGAAACTTCGTGAGGCGGTAGTAATCTCCAGCAGACACTTCGGGGAATTCCTCTGGACCCTTGGTGGGGAGCTCTTTGCCCAGCAGGGCGCTCGCAGCGGCCCTGGCCTCTTCTTCTAGATGGAGAAGACAAGCATATGCCCAGACCCTTAGTGGCTGTTCCTCGAGAAACGACAGCAACATCTTCTTCAGTACTGCGGAAGCTTCCTCCATTTGATACTTGATTGCTGCCGCAAGAACGGGTCGGATGTCCTTCAGGTCCACTAGCACTGGGTCCGCTGTCGGGTAGCATAGACGGAGTAGTGGATCAATGGCATTGCTGTCCTCCGCGATCACGACCATAGGCATTCCTTCGAATGTGGGACCCTCCTGGATGTCAGTCGCCCCGCCGCACGGCAACGCCGCGAGCAGCTCGGCGAAAACAGGCGACGCTTCCAGCAGAATCGCGCTCCGCACGCGGAAATGCACGCCGTCCCGACATCGGAGGACAACATCGGCCGCGGAATTGTCGAAGGGAGCTAGAGCGAACGTGGGCGCTGGAGGTTGGGACATGATGAGCGACTACAAGACAGCTCGATAGCTGCTTGAATCCGGCCTCCCGGTCAAACGTAATGTTCAATCGGTAGAAAAGCCACCGACCTCTTACCTGCACGAGAGGATCACTGTACCGTAGCTGGAGTACAATATGAGGGACTCGAGGTGGCTTAGAAAATGACTTGGGTGCTTGAAGCGAAGTATATCGATAAGGGACGCATACCAAGCAAAAGAACTTGCTTCCCGAGACACGTTGCAGTAGGATCTGCGGTGTCTACTTACCGGAATAGTCGGACAATAGCAACGAAATCTCATCATGAGAATGACTCCAGGAGAGGTGTACCAGACTACGTGGGATGCGAAAGAGTAAAGACAACCTCATGCGTTTCCCGCTAGAAGCTATTGCAAGTGTTGTCGAGGGGTGGTATTAAGTATCGAGCCTCAGCGATGGGGGGTCATGCATCATGTTATGAATAACGGCTATCGAGAGCGAATAGGCGTGTTCAATTAGGGGTGCTCAATTCTTGTCGGTCGCTCAGTTGCTCGCGCGCCTATTGGGCGCCTGCCTAGCTGCATTCAAGGTCAGCTCAAGCGTCTGCAGCACAGCGAGCAGAGACACGCAGGCAGCAGGTGCAACACGACCGCATGATGCCCCCGAGCTGGGACTAGAGAGCGACGCGAGGATTTGACAATTCAGAAGCTATAAAGTTGCTTGTCTCGAGATATGGAGTCGCCTCACAAGGTTTGAGTCCAGTTGCCATCGAGCCCAGAGCGGCACCCTCAGCTGAACCATATATATGTCGTGCTGATTCTGTTTCCGACTTGGGCGCATTGTGTACAATAAGTCCAGGTCAACGAGTTTATAAGCTCTCCCGACGTCACCATTCACTTGCTGGGCTGATTTCCCGGGCCTAACAAACCTAGCATGAGACGATCTTGTCGATCTCGCTGCACCCGCTGCCTGCGCACCTCTGCTCGCTGTGCTGCAGACGCTTGAGCTGACCTTGAATGCAGCTAGGCAGGCGCCCAATAGGCGCGCGAGCAACTGAGCGACCGACAAGAATTGAGCACCCCTATTCTTGTCGCTCGCTCATTTCTTCGCGCGCCTACCGGGCGCCTGCCCACCTGGATTCAAGGTCAGCTCAAGCGCCTGTAGCAAAGCGAGCAGAGGTGCGCAGGCAGCGGGTGCAGCGAGATCGACGGGATCGTCCTATGCTAGGTTTGTTATACCCAGAAAACCTGTCCGAGAGTGGATGGAGACATCGGGAGAGCGTTATAGACTCGTTGCTCGAGAATAATCGTACACAATGCGCCCAAATCCGAACCAGATTCGGCACGACATACATACGGTTCACCTGGGGTTGCCGCTGTAAGCCTGATGGCAATTGGACCCAAAACCTTGCGGGACGACTCCGCGTCTCGAGTCATAGAGCTCTCTAGATTTCGAATCGTCAAGTTTTCGCGGCGCTCCTTAGTCCCAGCTCGCGACCCTCATGTGGTCATGTTGCACCCGCCGCCTGCCCCCCTCTGCTTGCTGTGCTACAGGCGCTTGATCTGACCTTGAATCCAGGTAGGCAGGCGCCCGTTAAGCGCGCGAGGAAATGAGCGAGCGACAAGAATTGAACACGCCTAATACGGTGGGCGTCTGTCCTGGTAACTCACGATCCTAAGTTGGCGCCAGACTCAGTGCGTTCGCTGGAACATTCATTTTGGCATCCCCTCACGCTCAGGACTACCATGTGTCTCTTGTGCTGCCAGTAGAAGAGGCGGCGAGCAAAGCTGCCAATGCCAAAGACATGATGTACTCCCTGTGCTCCAAACGCCACTGCCCTGGCCACGCTTAGACATGATCTTGCATCCTGCAACGCGGCGAACGAAGATCCATTCCAAGCTCTCTACAATCTGGGAGAGTTTCATGTCAAGAATCCTCTCCCCATCTGTAAGTGGCACTATATGATCTCGAATTCCCTCCATGTCCACTGCGGGCTCAGAGCCTAACCGCCGAACAGTCAGGAAGACGAGAGGAAGAACTCCTGCTCCTTTTTCAGTCGCGAAGATGATGTCATGAAGGACCTGCAGTCAACACCACGAAAGCATTCAGATGCTAAACTCATGGCATGTGCGCTCCTAATTAGCGGAACGCTGGACCGTTTGTCTTACCCTCTCGAACAGGCCCTGGCCAGGGATCACTTCAGCTGCATGGTGACGCGTAGAGTCGACTTCTCATCCTATGTGAACGGTCTTACCACTCTCCAGCTAGGGGAATTGATGGGCAGCACGCAGTGCGCTCACATATTCCCAGACTCGCTCGCTGACTTTCAGCAGAAGGAAGCAGGAACAAGGTGCGTGTTCAAACGCGCATTCAAGTATATATGAATTCAGTGACTGACCCAGCTAACATTCTCAGGCACACCAGGTTGCGATAGCTTGGACATTATTGAAATGATTAGGTTACGAGGATGTCTACAATGAACTGAAAGCGGACGTCACCAAGACGAGTCTTCATCGGTTAGAGAATATCATGACAATCGAACCCTTCATCCACGAGCTCTTTGACACGATGTGGATCTGCTTTGAAGCGGACAGTGAGGTGAGAGGTTCCATACATGACCGTCTTTTTGTACACACTTCATATATAACAGGCGAATGTCTATCGCGGCACTATTCCACCGCGCTTGGAGCTGGCTCACCATCATTTGAACGTCCCGGCAACCGTACATTTCACCGCGCATAGTGACTGCCCTCTACCTAGCCCGAAGTATCTTGCCATCCGTGCTGCTTGTTGTCGCATTGCGCGCATGTCTGGTGCTGCGGAGTACCTCCATATCATACTTCGCGATATGGAGGAGTTCCAGGTCCTATCTGAAGATGGTGCGTCTGCTGACGTCCTCACGTACGCTCTCCATCGCCTTGTAGAGCCTGATGCCCCGTACCGCGCAAATGACACTTGATAAATATGGCACTCTCCGTGTGTACACGTCTCGCGAGCGGCGAACACGACTTTGTCTCCTTACACGGCGACAATAATCCGCCTGCACAGCACAAGGGTAGGCTCGACACAAGCCAATACGTGAGCAGCGTCGCGCGGAAGGTCTTACTACGAGAGCTGGCACAGATAGTCGCATGGCGCTCTGCAGCTCGTTCTGGACGCTCGCCTCCAGTCAGGCTCTGGTTCTGTGCGCACCGTGAGCAGAAGTGCGCTTATGTATATCTTCATCTCACATCGCGCGTCCAGCGGTCCAACTACTTCGCGGAGTGGGCGCACAGACATTGCTCACACGGGCCCTCCAGGACCAATCTGGCTACACCCTCAGAAGTTCGCCACGCCGCCGAGGAGATCAAGTAAGGCCAAATTGCACGAAAGGCAGGTTCTGTACCGCTTCATCTGAATCCAGATCGAAGACGCACGCAGTATAAACGCAAGGCAGGCAGCAGCCAAGCCTAAGTACGGCATGTGAAGCATCGTGAACACTCTGGCATTCCCGAAACCATTGCCAGTGCGTTTGCACGTCGTGTCTCAGATGGTTCTGCTTGTACTTTGGTAGCGTGGACATTGGCGGATGATAGTTAGGAACATGGTGCCGGCGCCAGGCGCCATCGAGGGTGAGGAGATCGGCTCTTCTGGAGGGCTTAGCCAGCACGCTCGCGTCTGACTCCCGCCCAACGATTGGCATAATAACAATAGCTCACTGTACTTTGATGAACACTTCTGTTGTGAGCATCGCTGTCAAATTTGCCTTGTGGACATGCTTTGCGATTGCGTTCGTTCTGTTATTTCAAAAATACATATGCATGATGACTCCGTGACGGTCCTTGTTGGAAAGCCACCAACCAAAGTAGAGGTATGCAGCATCCTCTGCAATTCACACCGGCAACCTTCGTTTCAACAGCTTGCCCTACAAGACATAACATCAGCTTGGGTATCCCGAAGAAACCCATTTTCTGACTCACATTGTTTGCATCCATCGCCTTCCTCACATCCGCATGCAAGTTCTCGATCCGCAATATCAGCCGCACGTTGTCCTCACAATCACCGCACCACATCCCCTTGTCCACAGACTGCTGGAGGGTCGCGGACGTCTTGGGCTTCTCCCACCAATGTTCGTCCTGATGCGGAGAGCGCAACTCCTCGACCGTGCGTTCCAGGATACCCAGCAACCACGGGTCTCCACGAGGTGGCGACTTATCACTCCCACTCCCGATGGAGGCAGACGCATCGACGTCCATCGTCTCGTCCGCCGCCGAGTCTCCAGAGCCCGCCGCCACCGCTTGGGACGTCGGCTTTACCACGGCTGTCAGCTTTGACGCGACCGCAAGAGACTCGCGCCGGTTGATCAGCAGATGATGGTAGGCCAACGCAGGGGTCGTCTCCATCTCTGGTATACACCCGTACGTGAACGGGTCCGCGTGCAGGAACGCGAGCGCGTCCTCCGCGACCTCCGTGAGTCCGAAGCTGCTTGCAAGCAAGTAGGTCGGGAGCGGCTGCGAGACCTTGAGCGTGCCGAATGAGTTGTATCTCAGCCGGCGGAAGTGCGTGTCCATCCTGAACCGCCGCGCACAGTCCATCATGGCGATGGCGTCGTGCACGGGGATGTCGCTGAGTCCATCGCAGTCGACAGGATAGCTCATCTCGAGGAGCGCCCCAAGGGGGGCGCCGCGTGCGTCGAGGCTAATCACAGGCAGAGAGGAAGATGGTTCAGCTGAGGTTGGAAGGGCAAGGATCTGATCTTGCAGAGTCGAGGATGCGGCACAGAGGATAATCTTGTGGGTTTGGAATTCCTGCCCATCGGAAGAGCGGCAGATTATGTCGGCGAAAGGCCGAGATCGGTATACGATCTTTGCCCCTGGTGGTTTGGTGCGTCGAATTCTCGGCACGTCATCAGGGCCAGGCTCCGTGAACTTGAACTGTTCACCGACGTCCCCTTTCGCCCGGTGGAATTTCACAAGCCGATAATAGGTCCCCGCAGAGATATCCTGCAACTCCAGCGGCGCATCAATGGGAAGATCCTTTCCAAGCAAAGCCTCCGCAGCTATCCTGGCCTCGGGTTCAAGTCTGAGTATGCACGCCAACGCCCACACGCTCAGGGGCTGTGACTTGACAAACGAGAGAAGCGCTTTCTTCATCAGCGCACTGGCTTCCTCCATCTCGTACTTCATTGCCGCCGCCAGCACTAGCCGGACGTCTCCGAGCTGCGTCAAGACCGGGTCGGTGGTGGGATAGCATAACCGGAGCAGCCGGTCAAGCGTCGCGCTGTCCTCTTCGACGGCAACGACCGGCTTACCATCCATGTAGTCAGAATTGTTGGCTAGCTGATTGGGGTCTGGCAGGGGAATGCCGAACATATCGGAGAATATTGGAGAAGCCTCTGCGATTATGCCGCTTCGAACGCGAAAGTTCACGCCGTCTTTCGAGCGGATCACGGTGTCGGCGGCAGGATTGTCGAAAGGCGCACGGGCGATGATGCCAGCCATGATGCCCCGCGGCTCAGCAGGATGTGTAATGTCTCAGACGGGTATGTATTAGCCTCAGAAATTCCTGCTAGTGCAAGAGAGAGTTGTAAGTACCAAACGATGGTACGGAACGATGTGGGATTCTATTCGTGGACGGACAACCAAGATGATCTCGGCGACTCGGACAATCTGCGCGGCTGTATGTTGAGCGATTTTACAGAGAGAAACTGCTTCAACTCTCCTGATACATATGGAATGCTTGAGTACTCACATAGTAAAGCCACAAGATGTTGCAATCGACGACCGCAGCAGCGACTTGGGACGAGAGCTTACACGAAATGGCCCAGATTAAATGACGACACGTGAGGTTAGCTATGTCGCGTCACATCGCGCGATGGCGCCCATCCGGATCTCGGCGGCCCAGCCCTTTAAATCGGCGGACAGACACAGAAAACATTCTACTCTTGCACCACCACCATTTTCTGTCTTCAGACACACTCGAAGATATCTGCAGTTCTCGATCATACATGGCGCGTACATCACAAATTCTCGATAACGCTCTCGGTGCCGTCGGGAACACCCCGCTCATCAGGTTAGACCGGATTGCCAAGGAAGAGGGGCTGCAGTGCAATCTCCGTACGTATATGCGTCCAGTTTGTACGATGCCGCAAATCTGAGCTTCCGCATGTGTTCCTCAGTCGGAAAGGTTGAATACACGTCTGCCGGCGGATCCGTCAAGGACCGTATTGCGAAGCGCATGGTGGAAGAGGCTGAGAAGGAGGGCAAGCTCATTCCCGGACACAGCGTAGTCATCGAGCCGACCTCTGGCAACACTGGTATGTCTCCCTGAGATGCCCGGATAAGTTGGACTGAGTAGTGTGTGCAAGGTATTGGTTTGGCAATGGCTTGCGCGATTAAGGTCAAACCAGCCAAATTTCTGCCCAGAACATATGCTGAATACTACAGATAAGGGATACTCGGTGATCATCACCTTGCCTAATAAGATGTCGTTGGTAAGCATTTGACCTGCACAGTTGGGTCTAGCTCTGACAGCTGCGCTCTACAGGAGAAGGAAGCTGCGTTGCGCGCATTAGGTGCCGAGGTCGTTCGTACACCAACTGAGGCTGCCTGGGACTCGCCCGAGTCGCATATAGGTAGAGCTTCCCTCTATAGCTCCCGCCTCTCGTGGCTGAATTCCTTAACGATCGCAGGAGTGGCACAGCGCCTGCAACGTGAAATTCCCGGTGGGATTATCCTAGATCAATACCGCAACGTGAGTGCTCAGAACGTGCACTCCTAGATCCGTCAGTTCACTATATCACGTTACCTTAGGTCAATAATCCTCTTGCTCATGAGTACACCACCGGCCCGGAGATCATAGAGGCTGTCACCTCCACGCCGTCCACCGTTTCGCAGCCGTCTTTAGGGAAGGTCGACGTCCTCGTAGCAGGTGCGGGTACAGGCGGAACGATCACTGGACTCTCGCGCGCAATCAAGAAGAAGCACAACAAGGACTGCATCGTCGTTGGCGTGGATCCCGTACGTTCCCTCGTATACCGTGGCAGTTCGCGCTTTGACCTCCCCGCTTTCTTGCAGAAAGGTAGCATTCTTGCGTACCCAGACGAGCTCAACACCGACAGCGTCGGTGCTCAGTACGTCGTTGAGGGGATAGGATACGATTTCATCCCAGATGTCCTTTCACGAGACCCGGCGGACGTGGACGAGTGGCTGAAGACCTCCGACGATGAGGCGTTCGCTGCCGTCCGCCTCCTCATGCGCCATGAAGGTCTCCTTGTTGGAGGAAGCAGTGGAAGCGCGCTTAGCGGGGCTCTGCGCTGGCTCCGGAGCGACAAGGGCCGGGCGATCGCTCAAACAAAGGGTCTGAACGTCGTCGTCCTTCTCCCCGATGGGTCAGTACTCTCCTGCGGTTCAGATAGATAACGTGGGAGCTTGAGAGCTCATCTTCGCGTTCACAGCATTCGTAACTACATGAGTAAACCCTGGTTCCTGAAGATGGCGCTCGAAGCCGAGCCGTCTCCGCTCGCTCGCCGGATCGCTGAGGTGCTCAAGACGTCGGAGAGCAACGTCGAGACGAACGTCGACGGCCTCGCGAACGGCATTGCAAGTCGCACTACAGCCACGAACCTGGAGAATTGTCCGAACGCTGCAGATGAGACGTCACATTGAGTGTCGAGAGAAGTTCCGACGTAGAAGCGCAGTACACACATGATAGACTGTATCCTTAGACGAAGGCATGTGTCGTGTCAGACCTTGCCACCCCGCAAGCCTGATATGTCTTCATTCTTTTGAACATTCAACGCGATGTTCTATTTATTATCATGACATCCTGCAAAGTCTCAGGCTTATGGCTTGCTGAAAGGGACCAGCCTTGGTTAGCTGGCGTTCTATATGGCGGAATGAAGGCGAAAGCATGGGTAACTCACGCGTCAAATTTTCAAACCTGATTGCGATGCGGGGGTCAGGCTCACTCACCAGGGTGCGATTACTGTGCTATTTAACGAATGAGTGGTATTAATGTATAAGGCTACAGTGTTACAGGGTCGGTTAATATGCGATGATGTATATATATCAGGTCCCAGTGAATTTGCGGATTCCAATTACTCTTCTACTTCTGGCGTGACCTCTACCCTTGCTTCTGCTTGCTGCTCAGTGCTGTTTTCTTGCTCCAATTCCAAGTTGCGTAAGCGCAACTCCACGAGGAACTCCTTGTCGCGAATGGTCTGTGACCAAGACGCCATCACCTTCGACAAGGAATAGGCAGCATGTACTAGCCCAGCCACTGTGAAGATTCCGGGATAGACATGTAGGACTAGAGCATGGAAGATGTCAGCGCCGGGTCACTGCTACGCATACGCTCCGCGGAACTCACAGAGGAAGTCGCCGTCCAGAGGAAGGGTGACGACACGTTGGAGGCCCCATAGCACAACAGCAGGGAGGACGATCATTCCCGACAGACCTAGTGTTAGAGGGGCGATGACGTCCTTTGTCGCTCTTACTGGGTCGAGGTGCGTCCATCCGTTCCGCAGAATCTGTTTGAAGAAGTGAGCCTGAGGGTACAGCGGCTGAAGTGGAAGCACATACACGCTCGATTCCATGCATCATACCCTGTGCAGGAGGGTGCATGCGTAGCGTGCGAACGATGATTTTGCTGTAGAATAAGCCCAGAGCCCACATGTCCACGACGCGGATACGGGGCTCCATCAACGGGGATGCAGTGCGCCGGATGGGCTGGATCATGTATAGCTCGAACACGAGCCCGACAAGCGTAGGGATGATGACACCTAGCATGACTATCATATACGATGCCTGAGCGGTCCAAAGCAAAACGCGTTTGAGGACGAACAAAGGCCATTCGGCACGTTGCTCCTCGCTATTCCAACGCCGCTGACGGCGCTTGTCCATTCGGTCCAAAGCGGAACCAACGAGCCAGCATCCCCAGAGAAGGTAGAAGCCCACGATGAAGGAGTAGCCGTCGTGGACGTCGTGAGGTATGAACAGATGGAAGAAGCCCCGGCCCACCAGGATGGGAGCCGCGAGGACAGAGGCAAGCATGACGGAACCAGTGAGCCACAGGCACAGGAGGAATGCGATAATTCGCCGCCTGAAATGTGGCGGGATGTAGACCACGGTGTAGTCGTCTTTGACGAGCCGCCTCGCCTTCTGTGCTTCGGCGTCCTGGGCGTCTATCAACCGTCTCGCATCCTCGTCGACGGGAGTGCCGTCCTCGAGGACGGGGGCTGTCGCAGGCGAGTCCCTTACGAGAGCCACGTTGTCGCTGTTGGGTACTCGCTTGAAATCTCCGTCGTGAAGGGCCTCAGCATCGTCCATTTGAATGCCGTCTTGAATGAGGAGGAACCTCCAAGACCAATTTTTCGGCGTGAATTCCTCCGTAGCATAGCGCCCACCAAACATATATGACGAAAGGCGGAGCCGCGAAGCCAAATACTTCCAGAGCGATGAGCCAAACCGTCTCAGGGCTTTCCGAGGTCGGAAGGACTCCATAGTGTAGGGTAATACTAGCTGGAGCAGGATCAAATCAAGGGGCACCTCGGACAGAGGCTCACTGTGAGTCCAGGATTAGTCTCTACATGCACTGCAGGCCTAGTGAAACATACCGAATTCTCCACCTGAACGGCATGATGGTGCGACTGAAGAGTCGTAGAATGCCCGACACGGTAGCCACCCCAGCCGCGACCACGAACCCGTACATTATCGCGCTCAGTATCAGCTTGCGGATCTGGGTAAGGGTTGGGCGTTCAAGAATGTCGCGGATTGGGTGGAAGTTCTGGTCCTGCGGATCCTTGATGAACCACATAGCCCCAGGGCGCATGATTCCACGGCAACCAGACAGGAGGACGGCGAACTGGTACCTGCAGGCCGGATATGAATTAGTATGTGCAGGCACCACAAATGAAAATGTAGTTGTACTCACATGAACATCGTGCCCAAAACCCAGTGGTAGAACACCGCGGTCAATGGCGCATACATCAAAAACGCGGCCCGTGAACGGAAGCTGCCTTGTGGGAATAGCCACACCGTGCAGACATCGAGCATAACGCCACATCCGAGGGGGAATATGGCCAGCTCGATGATGATGAATGCCGCGACCTTGACCACAAGCAGCTGCTGACGAACAGCGTTGCGTACGGCACGACCGGCGCTTCTCATGCTGCCGACGGTGAGAATGTTCAAGTAGATGGCCAAAAGCAAACCGACGACGGCATAGCCGAGAAGTACGGCAAACGCTCGGTCGTTTGGTGTGTCTCCAGTCGCAAAGCGAATCCATGTCGTCTTGCCTTCGTCGGACCACTCGCGGACATTCTTCCCTATAGGAGCAAAGTAAGGCTCCGCTATGCGCATGAGCGTGGTGTCCTCTTCCAGTATGCGATAGAAGATCGACGAAGATGGCTTGGCTGCAGAAACGACGGAATCCGAAGGAGTAGACGGAGGCGAATGGTCCATGACCTGAGAGGCAATTGAGAGTAGGTTCCCGTACTGTGCATATGTGGATCAATATCCGGCCTGCAAAGCTCGCATACGGACTTACGGCGACCGTGGACAACTCTGCAAGCTTATCCGCTCGATCTTGACCAACATTACGTGCAATTCCCTTCATACCTGACTGGAGCGCCGTCTGGCATAACTGAACTAGCGGCGGCAGCACAAGTTTCGAGAAGAACAGGAGGACGGAGTCGACAATGGGGTCCGTGACCAAACGAATCAACCGAAGGGGTAAGTGAATCAGTTGTGCAGCTCGACGCGGATTGAGCTAGAATATTATGAGTGAGCTCGCAGCAACTACAGTTAGAAGGGCAGTGCTCACTGTCAAGAGCGCAGTTGACTTCCCGATGATGAACGGCAGGAATATCCCCAGGCCGATAGTAGTGTCCAAGATGACGGTCATGAGCACGGCCTGAACCGGAACCACGTAAGTAGAAGCTTGCAGCGATAGCTCCAGTATTGTACAGCTTACGTTTTGTAGCACACCAACGAGCGGTCCCCTCAGACCGATGGCCTCCAACGCGCCATCCATGTCGTCCTCGATATTGACCTCCGCGTCGAGATCCTCCGGCAACTGCTCTAACTCCGGGGGCTGGCCTAACACCCTCAGCTCCCTCCTGTCCTGCGCAGCGCCTGGTAGGCCATCCTCCGCATCCCCAGGAAGCGGCCCACCAAGCTCTTCCCTCAACTGCACGAAGGGTTCGCCCTCGTCGTCGTCCTCATCGTCGTCTTGCAGCCCATCATCGTCCGTCCACTGCGTTTCCTCCATAATGGCCTCACCCTCATCGTCCACGTCCATCTCCCCGTCCGCCATCTCCGCCATCTCCTGCACTCTCGCGCGCCGCATCGCCTCCGCCTCTTCCTTAAATCCGGACCGCGCAAGCGCGAGCCTCCGCATCTCCGTTTCCTCGTCCGTGTCGAATTCTGTGTCGGAGCTCTCGTCGTCATCGTCGTGCTGCTCGGCCGGGTCGCGGAAGTAGCGCGCATGCTCCTCTTCGACGCGCTCGGGGTCCAGGTACCGGTCCGGCTGCAAATTTCGCAGGTAATCACGCACGAAGTAATCTGGCTCCGCATCAGGAGGCACCTCCAACTCTTCCGGCGCGCGGTAGGTCGCGAGGCTAGGAGAGGCTAGTGGGGTGTCCCCGAGCGCCGCCTGAGAGCTAGACGGAATGGGCGACGGGGGGAGCGTCATGGTAGGTAGAGGAGGCCGCCGCAGGCCGGCCGTGGAGGTCGAAGGCTGCATCACATCCGCCGTAGCGTCCTCGACATTGATGAAATCGTAACTCGCACTACTCGAGGTTGCGAGTACCGGAGTGGACGGTCTAGTAGGCGTCCGCTCGTCTTCGTCGTCCTCGTCTTCGTCATCGTCGCTGTCGGAGCGGGGAGATGAGGGTGCGAAGGAGATACTGGCGGGCAGGTTGCCATTTCCCTTCTCCTTGTAAGGATTCGTTGACGTACCGGCCGAAGGTGAGTGCGCATCGCCATTCGAGGTAGACGGCGAAGGATAAGTAAACGTGAACTCCGAGAAAGCAGGAAGTTGATTCGGGTCTCGCGGACGCCTGTGATTGCGTTCCGGCGGCCAATTCTCGGGCTCGGGCTCGGGCTCGGACTTGGACGAGCTGCCATTCCGCTTCCGTAGCTCTTCATCGAAGTCTTCCGCTCTATGCGCGACATACCGCAGCCGCCGGAAGTCCTTGTCGTCATGCAAAGCCGCGCCCTCATCAAAGCTGGAGTCCCCTTCAAAAATCCTCGTCCTCCGAACCCTCCGACGAGCTCTCAATGACCGACGCTCCTCGAGTGCAGTCGTGTGCACCCTCCGCTTCCCCTTCGCGACGCGTGACGGACCCGCTTCTTGACTGTCCTCGGACGCTTGAGCGCTTCCTCTTGTACGTGGCTTCTTCGTACGCGCTTGGAAAGCATAATCATCACGCCGCCCATAACGGCTGTCCGGTAACGGAATGGCTCGGTCGTGTTCAGGTTCCGCGACAACGGGTGGTGGTGGGGGCGGTAGTCGCGGCACAAGGTGCACTGGCGGTTCTTGAGCTTGGGGAGGTGGGTTTTCAGGAAGCGGGGGTAACGCATCCGCGCCCGGGTCAACTACACCATCACCGTCCTCGAACACGCCAGGGCGAGCGTTTTGTGTGATCCACTCCCTGAGGAGGAATATTGCGACGAAGCTGAGTACAATGATAGACGCGATGATCTGACCGGAGAAGATATCTGATGAGATGGTGCGGTACATGGGATGGACGAAAAGGGATATGGGAGTGGGGGACTGCGCGTCCGCGGAATCAGAGGACGTGGCATTCGCAACAGTGCCGTTCGCGACGACGCCAAGGTAGAAGTCGAGTTCAGAAGGGGGCCTCTTCATTGCGCTGATCCACCATGCACTGCCCAAGATTTGAATAAAACAAAGAGACATACGCGCACAAGGGCACTCACGCTGAATCGCCCAAAGCGAAGTACACCCTCCATGTCCAAATCGTTGCCCACGGCAGAGCTGCTAGCCAGACAGTCGCTACGAGAGCTGCGCGGAGAGCGAAAAGAATGGCGGATACCACTTGATGGGAAAACTGTCGCAAGATCAGGAGGATGGGCAGCCTCTCGGGCATGTCCTTGGAATACACTGCAACGGGTGTGTGGGTGAGCATAGCCCGACAACCCAGACAGAATCAACACACCCTTGGTGAACGAGTACGGGTGTTTGCACACATCGCAGGTCTTCTTCTTGCTGTGTGCGAGCCATTCCGTCAAGCTTGCGGAGCGTCAACTCGGTGGCACGCCAAAGGAAGGTCATACAACTCACCAATCCTGATGAATATACCTGATCGTCCCAGAGCACTTGCAGGGATGGAACAACGGCTGTCCGGGCTCCGCGGGGGCGCTGCAGATTCGGCAGGTGTCTATGGGAACCATACATAGTGAGCACAAGCGGGGTAGCATACGGGCACTCGTGTGATACGTGCCTTGATCCTCCTGCATGGTTGCATGAGATACGCTGTTCACAGGCCAATACTTGGTCTCCTGCTGAAGCAGCAGGGCGGCGACGTCAAGTCGTCTCGTCAGAGAGAAAGTAGAAAGAGGAACGCCAGGATGGGAGACGCGGACAAGACGCGGATGGCGTATGGCGAAGGCGCCGGATGGTGCGGTTCAAGGCGCTTGCTCGGGCCGTCCGGGTCCACTTCTTGGCAGCTCCCCAACACCGCGGCGAATCCACCGAAGCTGCTTCTGAACGTCTTCGTCACAACAGGCGAGACACCTTGACTATGGCCGAAGAGACTTGCAGCACCACTCTCGCAAAACGTTCATTCCCTCCCCTGTACGTCTCGTCGGGGGACGTTGCACAAGACAAACTGGCCTTCTTCCATATCCTCGAAAGACTCAAGGTATGGTATAGTCGCAACCATGCTTTTTGTTCGAGACTCGATGAACAGCGCTCCGAAGACCCAGAAGAGAACCGGCTGGGTTGACCACAAAGTACGACGTTTGTAACCTACCAACATTTGAGCCTGTTTACAAGCCACTTCGTCCAGTAGGTCCCTGGTTCTGAGAGGTACGGAGCATGAATCGCATGAGATGAGATCACAGTCCTACACTCTGATCTATTCAGTATATCGGACCACATGTACCGCATGGCCATCCTTGCCATGTGTACTTCCGACCCGACACTGGACGTCTCCAAGTGAGAGCTCCATCTTTCGTTCCTTGTAACGGTTAGCTCACTCCACAAAGATGCGTCATGATGGCTTTGGTACATGATCTCGCTGAGGCGCAGGGTATGCACCATGAAGCGTTCGTTTCCGGGCTCATGCATCTTAACGCGAGCTAGTTGGAGACATTGCGCCTCGAGAAGGTATCCCGAAAGCGGAGAAACGTCGACTAGAGGCGGCAAGTCTCAGCGATTGATCCTCGTCTGACGTCTAGTTTTGAAGACGACACAACAGGAAGCAATGCACAACTTCGTCCACGAGATGCTGCATGACAGCCCACCTGCTCAACGATTCATGGACCTGTGGAATGTAGGTCCTGATATCTTGACATCAGCCTCCACTACACCCATAGTCTTCTAGGAATATGAGGCGGGCGAGAGCAACGAGGCGAAGTTTGTCAAGGGTAGGAGCTTCCCTGCTATCCTCCAGGCTAGAGACAGACCTTATTTACGAACAATACAGACCTCGACCGATTTGAGATGGCCTCACAAGGTATGCGGCGTCTTTCCCCCAAAGGACGTTCTGACTCCGGCGCTGTTACTCAGCCTTTGAATACGAGAAGAATCATGGGATGCAGACTCTCCAGCCCTTCTTCGACAGCAGCCTACCCTTCCTCAGGCATCCAGAGGTGCAAGAATGGGGACAAGCCCTTTCGGCGGAGAGGGAAAGGGAGAAGGGGACTCGGGAAGGACAGCCAGAGTCCACTTGACTCCAGTGCCCGCAGGAACTGCTGAGGACAAGCAGTCAATTGCTCTCTACAAGTCCACGGCCACGTGGAACAGCTAGCTGACCCATATCATCTGTCTACAAAGAATCAATCCAACTGCACACCCGCTTGAACACCTCCGTTCTCTCGGGCTCGTGCCAGTTGAAGATGAGAAAATCATGCACAGCGTCTGGAGAGAAGTCTTCGTGAACAACCACCGAATCCGCTTTCATCCTCTCCACCAACGCCTTCGAGTCGTCCAAGAATCTCTCCGCGCCACCCGTGGTGACGTACGTTTCCGGAAAGCCCTTAAACAGCGTCGAGCCCTCCGGGGGCTGAGCACCCACCGCAGCAGGAGAGAAGTAGCGATTGGTCTTGACAACATCCAGGTCCAGCGAACCCCGCAGGGACGTGATGGCATATTGAGCAAAGAACTCCCCCTTAGGAAGCCTCCTTGAGAAGATGTCCGAGAGCGCATTCTGTACACGAGACGACTCGGGCCCATCTCTGGATCCCATCAAGTCAAGCCATGCAGACGAGAGGAATAGGGCGCGCGGAGGCGGTAGAGAGGAGAGGTCGTTCTCGATGAGATGCCGCACGAGCGCGAGCGCGATGTTGCCTCCGGCCGAGTCGCCCGCGAATACGACATTCTTCGGCTCAAACCCACAATTCTGCACAAGGTAGCGATACGCGGCGAGCGAGTCCAACACCGCGGCGGGGAAGGGGTTGGCAGGGGGGTTAGGTGCCGACGCCGTCAGGCGGAAGTCGACTGAGAACGTCCGTTGCAATGTGCCTGAGCACTCCAGCAGGCCCCTGCTGATGTTGGCCGTCATATCGGATGGATGTGCAGTCCCTATCTGTGATGCACACGCGAATGAAAAAAACCATTGTGGTGAGCCTCAAGCGTGCGAGCAATTGGAAGATCAAGACGCACACAAAACGCGCCGCCATGCATATGCAGGACGACCTTCTCGCCCGGTTGTGCGTTTGGTCCGTTCCACGCCGAGCCCCTCCTGAGGAACCAGTACCCAGCGATCTTCGCTGGCTTAACCCCAGTTATGTCTGCGAATCGACGAATCTCGCCACAGAACAACGGCGAGTCGTCCGGAATAGGCTCAAGCCAGACGAATTTGGCGTTTGTCAAGGAGCTATCCAGGACTTCTTGCAAAGGATCGCGATGGCTGAGCTGAAGATGAATCTTGACCGTGAAGAGCTCCTGCAGCTCCTGAAAGCTTCGAATGATCAAGGAACGCTTGATTGTCCATGTAGGGCGAGGTCGACGAGAAGGAGAGATGTATGAAAGGAACCAAGCGGGGATTTTGACGAGGATGAAGGTGCCAAAGGAGTACACAAGGTAGGCTGCCCTGAAAGGTTGGTATTCAAGCAGTTTAGCCATCGTCACCTGCGCGCCAGAACCCAATCGAACACTGAGAGTGGTTCGAGCTCAAGTTGAATGCAGACACGAAATATGACGTTAAGTGATCTCCCACCCACTTGTCTGGGCCCGAACGACGAGGAATCACCAAGTAGAAACGTTCATTTCCCACCCCATTGTCCGGGCCCGCTATGACTGAGCTTTGGCGCCCACTGAATTGGTGCGTTCGGGCCCGTCGAACAACGGGACTCATTCGGCCCATGATGAACGTTGAACGCCAGCCACGAATGGCCCATCCGTCTTGAGATTCAGCTGCCAACGGTGCGCCCAGAATTGAATGGCGGCGCAGGGGTGGCGCTGGACTCGTTGGTAAGACTTTTGGATGTACTTAGTGCTAGAATGTGGGGGCAGCGGCTAGCGGCAACCTAGTGGCAGACTGTACTCAGTCAACAGGTGAGGGAAAAAAGCCCGCAGTGCCATAAATTCTCGGAGTAAGCGACCTGGATACAACCTCCTTGCCCGATGCCCGTGGTCAAACGTGGGTCCACAGCTCGAATAGGACCTGAGGGTTGGGGTCGTGATCACATCCTTGAGTCGGCATACCGGCGACCATTAGGACTAAGTCGCGAGATTGGCATTCTATTGTAGGGATGAACGCACTGGGACCACTGGTCGGCACATTGTAAAGTTCTGCGCCTTGAGTTGCATTACCGTCTGAGATCGGGGGCCCCACCCGTAGAGATGACAATAATGCCTGATCTTCTTGACGCATCCCTTATATCATTCGCAGCGAACACTACACTGAGGATTGAAGCCAATTCCTATCGGACAACGGAGCATGAGAAGGCGCAACACGGACTTTTTCCGCTGGCCACGTAGCAGTGGATCACTCAGATGCATGCCGACATTTGTATTGGGAGGGGCTACGGCATGATCAGATGCCTAGGAACACAGGGTAGAGTTTTTCCAGGAACGTTGCGATAGCGATTAGCAGAAGACAGACTCATGTAGATGACATGACATGGTGTACTGGCGTGTGGGAAAACATGAGGGGAAGACGTGAGCATTAAGACGTAAAAGGATCTTGCGTGACGAAGCATGAGCATAGCAAGGCGGACGACAAACTGAGGGAGTGGAATCTGAGACGAGCGGTGTATGTATGGCAGTGATTAGACGATGATATCTCACTTCGTGAGGGATGAGAGCTGGACGAAGGCAATGAGTCGAGGTCCGCATCCCGACGATGCGCTTCTGCGAATGGAAGGGTGGGGCCAAGACTCGACAGACACATAGGTGACGGCCACCCATCAGCTAGTACGAGAGCCATTCTTGTAATGACGCCGCGCGGCGCAATATACGCTTTTCAGGAATGGTGCATGGTGATCCCCGAGAAGAAGTCCGTCATGCTTGGCTGCTCGCGTGCCGCGGCGCTGAACCGACCCCAGTTCACCCACCACTCCTCCGCCGCATCTCCGGCGTCGTATGCGAATATTTCGGCGATTTCCTCGAATTGGGCCTTGAGCGTGCCCTCGTCCCAATCGTCATTTTTTGCGCGCATGTCGGCGTTGCGCTTGTCCGCCAAGGGGCCGTCGGGGAGTGCCACCATCCGCGCGTTTCCGACATCCGCGGCATTAACGAGCTCGCATCGTCGCTGACGAAGCTCTTGGTACGCACTGAGGAAGGAAGGGACCTGGTCGATCATGTTCAGATGGGAGAACAGTGAACCAAGCACGACTGCATCCTCGACTGCCATGCTAGTCCCGTGTGTGCCGCCAGGCTAGAGCGTCATAGTGTGAGAGCTGTCCAGTGGCTATGGGTGGACAGCGAAGGTCTACTCACGAAGGACGGGTGCGCGGCGTCGCCGAGAAGAACAATTCGGCCAGTAGAGTCGATCCATTCGTCTACTTTGTCGCGAGTCTTCCACTGGGTACGGATGAGATTGGTCGTCAGCTTGAGCGCCTTCTGAACTCTTAGAAGATGGGAGCGGTCAGATTGCAGTAGGACAATGGTCGGACGAAAGACGCTTACGCCAAGCCATAAGCGTTGGTGTCAAGATTCGCTGTGGAATAGATTTCGTCCCAAGTTTCCTCGCCGCCCTGGGGAAGCCCGTACAAGTTGTTCCAAGAATAGATATGGTATGCATACTGTTTCTTCGCCGCCTGTATGATATGAGCATCTATAAAGTTAGCAGGAATCACAATGCAACGCACGGATGTGGAAAAGCCTACCACGGGGTGTCCTAATCACACCCACATGTGAATATCAATAAGACATACTGAAGACAAGAAATGGGAAGCACATACCGGCCATGCTGCGACCGGGTGCCATACCGATTGCCCACTATTGCATCCCTCAGTTGCCATACGGACACCTCATCAAAGTATGGCGTATGCTCACCTCATCAGATAGTATGAATGGCGCGAGGTCGGGGTCATCCAGCATATCTTCAGCATCGACGACCCCGGTATAAAGCGTCATGCCACCAGGCTCCGCGCAGTCCTCCTCCTCTGAAACCACCTGTCGCACCAGGCTTCTGCACCCATCGGCACCCACCAGGATGTCGGCTGTAATGACCTCCCCACTTGCAAGAGTCACAGTGGGTTTAGCGTCCTCTTCCGTCCCCTGACGCACGGAGGTCACCTCGGTGTTGTAGTCGATAGTGGCGCCTGCATCTGTTGCAAGCTTGTGGAGTGTCCTCACAAGGTCCTTGTGCTATGAATGGTGGGTCAGACAACACGTATGTGCGCCTGTAAGAGAGGTGGTTCGCTCACATGCATTAGGAGGAAGTCGCCACCGGTCTCGGCGAGTACGGCAGGTTTCCACTCTAAATATCCCACAACCTCCCCAGTTCGTACTTGTCATTGAAGTGTCAATAGCATCAGGCCAGAGCGGCGGGGGTGATACACGAGACGCACTTACAGTTGAATGATGGCGAGCCAACACACCGCACGGATAGCTTCCTGAGCTCCTCCTCGCCGATCCACTGTCGGAGGATTTTGCTAAAATTGGGAGGCACGCGGTGCCCGCCGCTTGGCAGATCCATGCCATTCTTTTCAAGGACTCTGACCCGCTGTCCTGCTTTGCTGAGCACGTAGGCGACGGCAAGGCCGCCAACACCTGGGAGTGAAGAAGTATGAAACATCAGAACCTGAGCAACGCATTGCGTGGAGACATCCAAATACGACCACAGTGGGAGTGAACGGGACTGAAGAAAATGGCCATAGACCACGTACGAACCTCCGCCAACAACGATGAAGTCGAGGGAGAGGGCAGCCGGGGAGGGTATAGCAGACATCATGGGCTGCGGCGAAAGACGGAGAGCAGAACTGGAGATGCTTTATGTGTTGTTGCGAAGGACGGGGTGAGTGCACATGTGAAAGACCGGGGTGGATTGGGAGTCCAGAGTCGAGAGCGTCTCGAAGCAAATGAGTTCAGACATCATATACAACCCCGGCGGCGACCAGAAATGCGGCCCATTCCAGATGCCATACGGGCTTCGTTCGTTCTCATCGCTTGGAGTCGGCTAGTACGACTGGAAGGAAGAGCCCCAGCGTAGACGACGCCCGGCAAGGCGTAGAATCCCATCGCTAAGTCAATAAAAATGCTGAACGCGTCAAACCGGATCGAATGCCGTGTTGCTTCACAGTTATGTCAAGGAGATTACTGATGTATGCCACGTTGGCCCATCTGTTCCTGCACGAATATATTTGGATGATCACCGGTCAGTGCTCTAGCACTGAGAACGTGAGAAGCCTAGTCGTGACAAACGTCGAATCTACTTACCGGTCAGTACTAGCAGTGCGCCAACGTTATCGATGTGCATCGCCGACACTAAGGACGTTCTACTAACGGACGTTGCATTCAGCCGAGAAGAGCTCTGACGGAATCACAGCCCCGTCGCGGACCCCAGGAAATTTGTGGGCGGTCGTGTAAATACATCATGGTGGCAGATGAACAGCAGCTGAGGAAAACTCCGAGGGCTGCGGTGACACGAGAATTGAGATGATCTTAGGAGATGGCCAAAATATCGAGACTGTTGAGTCCGGCGAGTCTGCCGGACTCTGGCGGACTCCGAGGATCACATGACGCTCTCGGGAAGTACCCCTGGCGCCCAGACACCTAGACCCTGCTGATACAGTATCGCTACATCTCGGTATTCTATGACCACCTCATCGTCTCAGCTCCTGCTTACTGCCTGCCCATATGTATTGTATTGTATTGCATAGCATAGAAGTCGAATCTAATGGTATTTTTCATTTACATGCATATTTATCCTAAGGTCGCTCCCGCAAGTTTGGGGTATTGAGGTCTTCGCGGCGCTGTTGCTCATGACCCCACCTTGCATTGGGACGAATAGCAGCAGGAAGACGACGTTCGTAAAGGCCCTCATCGGGATGCTAGCATCAGCAGACATCAGAGGGAAGAATACCCGACACCCTGCCGCAAAGATTGGCTACTTTGCGCAACACCATGTCGACGAGCTCCACCAGTACCCTGCTCTGCTCTCTCCTTCATAGAGGAGAGGAATATGGAGTGCGCGGAGCAAGCGATTCCGTACGCACCTGGCAAGTACAGGATCAGAGCCATCGCTCTCCAGCCTGGCGCTCCCTTAGCGGAAGCTAGATGGTTCCCATCGTGTTCACTTTGGCGACGTTCGGGTCGTCTCTCCACCTTCAGGTTGTCTTGGACGAGCCAACCAACCACCTCAACTACCTGACAACAAAGGCACTTTGGAGATGGAGGTGTTAGAGTAATAAATGGGTCACAGTGCACGTCGTAACCCATGACCAGTCCTTTGTCTCCAAGGCAGCTGAGCAGGTTTACGCAGTAAAGAAAGGTCTAGTGTACTTAAAGGCAGGTATGGAGGAGTACGTCACATTGTATCGCAAAAGCAATATAAAGTGACAAGTGCATTGAGCTTGTATGTTATTTTTCATGTAGACTAGATGAGGGCTCGCCGATTGCACTAGACAGATGTTGTGTGCAATTGAATTACCTGCTACCGATTGAGGATGGCGGAAGCCGTTTCTTCGAGCTGGTTTACATTCGCCAGTGGCAGGTTTTGTGCCATGAGGAGCGCACAAGTCTCATATATTCCGTAGACAACATGATACAATACGTGGGCGGGGCGCGTCAATGGTTTGTATCCGGAGGATAGCTCCAGCCGCGAACATGCACCGTGAAGCCGACCTCTGCGCTGGCACAAGAAACTCACAAAAGGCGCCAGGGGGATCTAGCGGCAATCAGCAGTGCCTTGCTTGGCCAGATCATGTGATCCCCGGAGTCCGGCGGAGTCCGCCAGACTCGCTGGACTCAACGGTCTCGATGTTCTCGAGATGGCGGCGTGGCACTGGCAATACTTGACGCCCGCATACCTTCTGATGTCAACATGCCGCTGGCTCAGCCAAGGACCCCCGGTTATTCACTCAGAGGAATGATCCGATTTTCCAAAATCTTGCCATAAATGTCCGAAGGATCAGGCCTTTCCGGGAGCCAAATCTGTCCGGATTCGATCAGGCCTTCCGTATTTGTGCGCAAATTTGGCCGGACTATAGATCAGGCCATCTGGCGGCATGATGTTGTCCGGATTGGGCAGATCAGGCGCCCAGAGGCTGAATTTTCGCTCAGGGAATGTCCATATTGTTTGTTTGAGAGATCTACGGCAATCTGGACAACATAGAGTATGCTAGGGGTCATCTTGCAAATGGAGAGGCAAGAAATTCTGTCACTCAGCAGGCTGCCCTACCTCTTGCCCTCCAGCGCTTCTTGCGCAATTTCTCAGTTCACCGCCGGAAATGCAGAAACGTCCCTTTATGTTCCGGGATACAAGGAAAAGAGATAGCGACACCGGTTTG